ACGGCAGTGGCGGAGTCGTACCACGAGACCTCGGCGGCTGCGTGATGCGCGTCAGCTTCCTGGTGAGGCGAGGCGACCGCTGCGACGACGCGGCCAGGAACGAACTCTCGGCCGATTCCAGGATCCTCAGGGACGTGATGCTGGCCGTGGCGCGCTACCGGAACGTCACCTTGCAGTGGCACTACCGGTCCGACGAAAGCGCCCTGGACTTCGAGAGCGCCGCCTTCTTGGAGGAAATGCGCCGGCTCCTGGAAAGCACCGACGTCGTCCTGGGGGCGCTGGTGATGACGCCGACGAGTGTGAGGCACATGCGGCCGACCGCGTCCTACCTGCACATGCCCGTGCACATCATCGTGCCGTGCCACGTCAACGCGCCCGGGTCGCACGTGTGGCAGACGGTGACGCGGAACCTGTGGGCGGGCGAGGCCGGGTCCAGCCGCGTCTTCATCCTCGTCGGTTTCTGCGTGTCCGTGGCGTTGCACGTGCCCATCTCGCGCCTGCCGGGACTCGCGCTGCCGCGGCCGCCGTGGTGGGCCGTGGTGCGCGAGGCCTTGCTCGGCCAGCTGGCCAGGGAGTGCGAGGTGCCGACGCCCGCGCCGCGGCTCTGGCCGGACGTGTGGTCCGCGCGCTTCCTGGCCGCCGCCTGGCTGCTGTTCGTGCTGCACTACAACGTGTTCATCAAGGTGAGGTGTGCACGGTAAAAACGGTACCTGGTTTTCCCAGGAAGCCTATGGTACACAGTAAATTTCTTACGGTGAAAGGCTGCACCAACGTATTGTCGTAGAGATTTTCTCCATAATATCAACGAAATTCGTCAAAATATGAATTTTCATTGGTATGTTACGAAGTCAGCTGCACCACCATACTATGGAACATTTTCACCATAATATGGAGAATCTTCACTGTAGAACATTTAGAGTGTAGAGACATAGACGATTTCCAAGGAGTTCCTGGGAAAACCAGGAACCGTTTTTACCGTGTGGGTGAAACTTTGCACCAAAATTGATTGAACTGATAAATTTAATTCATTCGATATTTTAATGTACAATATTCTTCTAATACCGACATCAAGTTCTAAAGGTCTGTGTTACTATGAACCCTTGAGAGAGTGGTTCATGTAACATGGACTGATGTGTAAGCACCTTTTCTGGTCACTTAACACTTACAATTCATGTCGAAAAAAAAATTCTACTCCGTCAACCGGCCACGCACACAGTTCCGTTTTATACTGACCATACTTCTTGGAGAGATATTTCAAATATCTGGCCACTTTCTCAAATCGTTTAACTTAAAGTGGTAAAAAATGGAGAAAACACAAACTTTTTCCTATAAAAAAATTGTTAAGTTTGGTCTGTCAAATCAAAAAAATAAAATTCAAATACCTCTCTGTTAAGTTGAAGTTATACGGGTCTAGGTAACTCAAAAACAAATTTCAGGTCATCGCGTCAAAAAACTTTGCGTGGCTGATTTTTCTACTGAACGCTTAATTTCAATGAAAACAGCCTACTGTGGCTAAATGGGAGGGTAGATTAGGATCAAATTTGGTGGGTAAGAGTGTCCTACCTAGTACTTAAACGCCCTACACTCAGTCCAGGAACGTGACATCACGTTGAAACGAACGTGACAAAATGTCACGTTCGTTTGAGTATTGTGTCACATTCATTCGGGTGTGAATTGGTCAAAAATCAGCTTGTTCACATTCAAACGAACGTGCCACAGCTCAAACGAACGTGACACTTTGTCACGTTCGTTTCAACGTGATGTCACGTTCCTGGAATGAGAGTGTATAGTTTCGGCCACCGCAGCCAATTGGTATAGAAGTGCGTCCATTTTCACCCACACCTCATCTCAAGGCGCTGCTCTTCACCGAGCGCGCCGCGCTGCAGCCCGAGCACTGGCCGCGGACCGTGGAGGAGCTGCTGGCCGTCGTGCCCAACCTCACCGTGGCCGTGGGGCCCAGCTACTTGCGCCACGTGGTGCGCAAGGCGGGCATCCCGCCGCAGCGCATCGTCACCTGCAGGACGCAGCGCCAGGTCCGGCAGTGCGAAGACCGCTTCGACATCGGCTCCGGCTTCGCGGTGGCCGCCACCAGGCAGCTGTCCCGCTTCCAGTGCCTGCGCGCCTGCCGCTACCCGCTGGCCGCGCAGCTCATGCAGGTAGGGACGCGATAGAATAATAGGGCGATGCATCCGGTCAGCAATGGCTACAGAGCGCTACGCCCTCCCAGAACGAAGTGAGAAGACCGACAACAGCAGTCAAAAATAGCAGTTAATATGCAAAATCTACGCGGCGAATGAACTGCCATCTCTCACTTCCGTTCTGGAAGAGCATTGGAATACCCTATCCTAACTGTCGAAGCAGTCCCAAGACAATCCTAGCTGTTGGTGTCGATTCAGAACTATATTAACTGCACATGACATAAAACGCGGTCTTTTCTCAAAGTCAGTGACGCCAACATACTCATTTAAGTTGCTTGCCGAAAAAAAGTTTTATCCTTGTTTTGTATTTCAGAGATATCGCGCGATTCACTGATGCGCAGCGAGGGTAGGTCATGAACACTTTTAGGTACCTCTACAGTTCGGATAGTTCTAGATCTGCGCTGACAGGATTGTCTGCGATCTAAGTCTGACAGTTAGGGTTATTCTTTAGGAGGTGTTGACATTAGGGATCTACTGTGTTTCATACTACAAAGCTAACTGTCAACTTCGTACGCACATGCTTAGCATAGAGTTATACGGCGCCAAGTATACGTTCGTAAGTGTCTACTTGCTAAGCATGCGTTTGTAAGTGTGTACTTCGTAGACAGTTAGGTTCCTAGTGCACCAGTAATTTACATCCCATCCTCGACCATGCTGCAGGCCAGCCACGTGAGCTACGTGAGGAAGACGTACGCCCTGGTGGGGGTCCTGGACGAGACCATCCTGAGGCTGCAGAACGGCGGAGTCCTGCAGAGGGAGCTGCTGCTGCAGCTGTCGATGAGGAAGCACAGGGTTCTCAAGGGCTGGATGAGGTATTTGAAAGCACTGCGTCGGGGAAGCGAGTGGTCCGTCGTCGTGGATCTCCTGCACGTGCTGTGCGCGGGTTACCTGGCGGCGTCGGCGGTGCTTTTGGCGGAAATTGTTGCTCACCGACTGGGTCACACCGAGTCTACACCAAGAAGCATGTTTCGCCCAACGTCCGGGTCTTTGGAAGCTACGCACAACTAGAGACCCTTGCGTCAGAGAGGGTAGTCCCGCCTGGCAGTCCCTGGGCCAGGCTAGTGGAGGACCCAACGCGATATCTTTTAAAGGGGGGGCCCCGGTGAAACTTTCAAGTAGGGTTCAAAAAATCCCAGGAAGTTGAAACTTTGCTTAATTATTAGGGTTTATTGTGGTGAGTTCCCCAAAAAAAAATTCAATCCAAAATGTTGAACGGTCTCTGAGAAAAGTGGCTTTTTTGTGTTTTTGGAGCGTTGGGGGAAAATCTTCCTGCGTTTTTATTGGGACGGAAAGTCTTGAAAATTTTTTTGGGTTATCCTAAAGATGTATTGAAGAGATTTTTGTGACGGAATTTTCAAATTCAACTTCTGTCCTGAGGTATGAGTTTTCAAAATTTAACATTAAAAAAAAGGGATTTTTTTCCCTTTTTTCGAACTTTTAGGTGTGTTTAAAAAAAAGGAGAGCTGATATCAAGATTCCGTCACTAAAATTTGTCGACAAGTCATCAATGAATAGAGTCCATACAAGACGACTCATGTAGGTGTCAACCAGGAACGCAGGAAGTCTTTCTACGACAAAATTTTTTGTCGACTGCGCAAAGCTGTGAAGTTGAGGGTAGAAGCCAACGACAACTGACCTCAATGTTATTTCCTTCCAAATGATATAGAAACTACCCACTTAGCTTAAAGGTGTTCAAAGTGTTAAATCTGAAACCTTCTATGCACATTTTTAGCTATGAACTTTGAAAATACTATTTTTTGGAATTTTGGCGATTTTTTCACCAGGGTCCCCACTTAACATTTTGTGTCCTAAAAGCCACCGATTAATCGGGCTGAGCTTAAGGGTTCCAACACCCATATGATGATTCCTCGATCGTAACTGCATCTTCTTGTTAAGCGTTGAAAATCATTAAGCTTTTGTTTGCTTCATTGCTATAATTTATTTCAGCTGTTCATAGGAAATGATTCGTGTCCCCTTAAATAAATAATTACACACAACGTTTTTAGAGCAACTGAACTCACACAATTGACAAAAAAATGCACAAACAATTTTTGAGCATATTTCAGAAAGTGGGAAAGGTCCTTTGCCAAAGGCCGCACCTAACACGAAACATTTCCGGGCAAACCTAATGTGCGCAGCGCACCCTAACAGAAGTCATAGCCTAAAAGAACGGCTTCACGCACTTGAAAGGGTGTCCGATTGTTTCCAACCCCGGACGTTTACGGCTCTTCCCCACCCTGACCCTACAGGGTTTCTTTAGAATACTGTAAATATACTGGATACGAGAAAGGATAGTTTTGAAGTGTGAAAACTAGCTTCATTGCAAGATTTTCGGGCCTTGTCACGATCCTTTCAGAGTTCAAAGGTGACACTGATGGTCAAGATTCTGCGAGACAACAAGTTGAAGACATGAATTCTCACCTTTAAATTTTCAGTTGAGACATCAGAGGAGACAGATGAGAAGTTCTGCGGAAGTGCCCTACGTGTTGCATGAAAAGCAGAGTGACGTGTACATGCAGGTTTGCGCTACCTGGCTGTACGTGGCAGGCGTGCTTCAACAACGCATCCTCCAGAAAACAAGGATGGTCTAGCGGTACACTGCTAGCGCTGGCCGGTCCATTCGTTTACACGGCCCTCTCATACCGCCAATTGGAGAGGTCTAGAGGGCCAAACAGCGTTAATGGGGCAGTCAGACGAAGCTGCCGGCGGCGAGGTGGGGCGTAGTGCGGCACAGCGTGGCGTGGCAAGCCCCTCGCGATGCTCCACTGGCAAGGCCCCCGGCGGTGCCCCAGTCGACCACGCTACTGACACGGTCAGGATGTCCCGGTGGTTTGCGTTCCTCCTCGCGGCGGCTCTGGTCGCGGGCGCGGCCGCCGACACCCCCGCCCAGGGCGGACTGGCCCGGGCGGGCGGGTTGAGTATTCCCGCCCGGGCCGCAGGCCCGGGAGGGCCGCGGGCCGCAAGCCATGGGCCGTCGTGGGCCGCCGTGGGCCGCCGCGGGCCGGCTGTTGCGACCGTGGGCCAAAGCAGGGCTGCAGGGTCGGGTCGGCCGTGGGCACGAGAAGGGCATGCCGCGAGCTGCCTGCGTGTCCTGAGAGTGTTTCCCGGGTTTCCGCACTGTGCACTATGAGAGGCCATCGGTCTCTCCGAGTGAGCTTTCGCTCCGCAGAGGAATTAGTCAACAGCTCGGGCCACGGCCGTTAGCTTCAGCCTCACTTGGTACCTAGTGTGAGGCGCGGCACAGTGTAAAAACAGGCAGAAAAAGTGCGCGTTGTTCGTAAACCACTGTTTTCAATATGAAACGATGCAGAATGAAGTATTTTAAGATTTGGGGTTAAGGGACTAAAGGTAGGCAGCCACCTCAGACAAAACACGCTTTTTTCGACTGTTAGAGTCTATTTCCAGCAATTATGAGTTTGGGCAGCCAAGCTCTTCTCGACACTTTAGTTTGGAGTTTTCTCTACAAAAGGAGGCCTCTCCGACCTGCAGAACGGAGGAAATGGAGACGTGTGCCTCCAAAGATCAAAAGACGGCTTTTTATTCGACCAGTTTCAGTAGGCCTATGTTTTCGGCAAACTTTGAATATTGTAAAATTCTTTTCAAAACCTTCGTTTTGAGCCGTATTATCTGTCCGACCGGAAACTGAAGATATAGTGCCTCCATGGATCGAAAAACGGCAAAACAATTGCAATAAATAAAGGTTTAAGCTGCCCCCTTTACCTCACATCTCGTGAAACTTCATTTCTTATCGTTGTATCTGACAAAAAGTAGTTTAAGCACCGAAAATTCTTTTTTCGCATTTTTTGGCCTTTTCTTATACTGTGCTGTGCGAGGGTGGGTTTATGAAATATGTACCATTGTAATGTGTGACCTCTCTTTATGCCCGTATATTGCATTTTTATAAAATGTATACGAAAATAAGGGGCTTATCTAAACCACCGCTCAGAACGCTGCTTTGGCATGAAAACATGGGGAAGACCGCCGGGGGGGGGGGGGGGGGGGGGGGGGTTGTGGGCAGGGCCGTCCGATGAATTTCCCGCTCGGGCCGTTTGGGTCCCAGTCCGCCCCTCCCCCCGCCAACTGCACGTCCGAGGACGTGGTGGGCAAGTGGACGCTGTGGCGAAGCATGCGCGCCGTCAAGCCCGGCACCGACTGCGCCCAGGACCCAGGTGAGGCCCACAGGAAAAACGCCACGAAGAATCGTTTCGAAATACGAAGGATACAAAGTCGTTGTAAAACCTACGTAGAAACGCTTCGTCAAGTCAATAAAAATAAATCGCAATACGAAGCGTTTATTCACTATACGAATTAATTCTATGATGCCTTTATTTTATTCGTAGCCTATCTGGAATGACCCGGTGATCTCACTGTGAGAAAAAAGTACGGAACATGTCTGGTCAATAATTTGCCTGGACCGTCCGTACTTTGCCAACTATGGAACGTTCCGTACCTTTTTTCCGTACCCATTTACATGGGTTCATATGGAGCAAGTACGGAACGTTCCGTACTTTTCTCCGTACCTCCGTACGATATTTTTCTGTACCATTTCCGTACAAAAGTACGGAATTTTTTACAGTGCTCGTACCCTAGGGCACTAGAATCTGACACACACTCCCAATTTCCTACCTGTTGTCGATGTTACTGACTTTGAAATTTATGAAGTAAAAATAGAATTGAATTCTGTCAGTATCTGAATCTGTAAGGAGTTGTGAGGATCAGCGAAACACACGTCTGAAGAGATTTGTTGTCTGATCCGAAGTAAGAATCACAGTACAAACAAAAAACAGTCATGGCGTACACGGGCTTGTAGAATGTCATACTAAAATTGCAACAACTTTCCCCCTTGTAAGGACAGTACAGCTGTATGTGCAGCAGAGGTACCTGCTCCAGGAGTTGTCATCTTCAAGGCTAGCAGTCACAGTCGGGAAAATATTTTGGTCGGGTGCAGGAGGAAGGTGGATCTTTGGGAGCTGAAGAAGAGTTATGTGGTCCGCATTTGGATCCCGCAGGAAAAAATGCTCAGCTGAAGTGTGCCGAGTTATTCCTTCCAATTCTGTCTGTCCACTGCCCCAGAAGTACGTAAACAGATAGATCCAATCCTGTCCAGAGTGTTGCTCGTCGTACAATAGGTGGCCAGTGGATGGCCGAGCCTAAAAAGACTACAAGAGGACACGTGATGAATTGACTTTGGAGACTGGTTGCATTCTTTGGGGTTCTAGAGCGGTCACTCCAAAGTAACTCACAACTTAGATACAATACATGTTGCATGCGGACCATTCAGGAGAGTCAAGGATGAAGAACTTGGCACGAAGCTATGTTTACTGGCCAGGCATAGACTCAGACATTGAAACACTAGTGAGACAGAGTGGGGCGTATCAGGTAATGCAACCGCTCAAGAAGAATATCCCAGAGAAGCCTTGGTCCTGGTCCACACTTGGACAAGAATCTACATGGACTTTGCAAAGACGAAGCCACCTTTCTCATCAGAGTGGATCACCATTCAAAAAACACCCTTTGTCCAGAAGATGGAGAGCACAACAACAGTAGCTGTAATTGATTATCTGTAGTGACTTCAGTAAGGTCCTTGTTTGCCCAGTTTTGGTTACCAACCGTGGCAGTTGCTGACAATGGGCCTCCACTCAATTCTCAAGAATTTGAGAAATTCCTCAACAAGAACCATGTAAACTTGGAGCATTCGCCTGTCAACCATCGCGCATCTAGGGGAAGCAGAAAACATGATAAAGAACTTCAAGAAGACACTCATGAAACAGCTCATTGATCCAGAAAGTTGTGACAGGATACCAAGTCAGCAAGTAAGGGAGAGTGGGGTAATTCCGGACGCTTTTTTTCTTTTTCGTCTTTGAGCTTGAATATGCTTCTTGGGTCAAATGTTACTACAGGAGAGTAAAGTATGGACCTTTACCTTCACAATGATATACATGAAAGCCAAATCTCAGCAACGGTTAGGGAGATATAGGCGCCTAACAAAAGCCCTGCACGTGTCCGGAATTACCCCAGGCTGGGGTAATTCCGGACGACCTATGGGGCAATTCCGGACGACCTTAAAATTTGACACCACTCGAGCTTACTTTCGCTTGTTTTGATGTCAGGCATGCTTTTAGAAGGCGTGCAAGGACATTTGCTGCGAACTGAAGTGTTTGATTATTACTCAAAGCATATTATAAGGAATAGTTTCTATCAAAACCCCTAAATTGACAACACTGTCTTGAGTAAAGCTCTTAAACATAGCTGCAATACTATTTTTCGTTCTTTCTTTATCCTTCTTAACGGTGGGGATGCATGTCCACAATTTTGAACCCACTACCTTTAAAATTATGCGGGAAATTGAAGAAAATAACCCTTATTGTCCGGATTTACCCCACAGGTAGTGAAAACCTTTTATGTTCAGCTGTAAAAAAACGGCGAGCCATACGAGCACTCCCGAAACGCCAAAGTAAAGTCCAATGACCATATAATATGGTAAAATTTTTGTCATGGGGCTGAACTTGATGTTAAGGGACGATAAGTACATGGAAATACGGGGGAAAAATGCAGCTTTTGCCTATTTTTTATGGTACTCAAAATTCGTGAAGCGACCACAGCCAAACGGTTTGACCTCCTACCTTAGCGATTTTGGGAAATTTTCATTTTTTAAATGATTATCTTCCTCTGTTAGGCGGGATTTTGAGTTATCTTTACTCAAAACCCCGTGAAAATCGAAGTGTCCGGAATTACCCCGTGTCCGGAATTACCCCACTCTCCCTTAAGTGCATTCCTTCCTACAGACGGAAACACTCCACATGCCTTAACGGGAGGTACGCGTTCAGTTCAGAGTTGTCCCTAAAGAGGAAAGTGAGAAATCATTTCTCAGAATTGAATCCTCTGGCCAACCTTGCTACGAAGATGCAGGCATCCCAGGTAGAGACGTCTAAGAACAGAGGAGGAACACCTAAGAGTTTCAATCATAGTGAACTCGTTTCCAGTCGGACAATTCGACTGTTCATAATTGATCCAGGAAGCGGAAGAAGGGGATAACTCAATTTTGGCCATTTTTCAGGAGAAACAAAAACTGTTAGCGGGGAAAAACTAAAACAAAACAAATGAATGTTGCAGATGTTAAAAATTTCAAAAAGCATGAGTAAAATTTTGGAAAAAAATCAAAAGTGTAACGTCACTCAGTAGAGGATTTCTGCGACTTATCACTTTCCGTTGAAATGGAAAACAGAGTCAGCTCACCTTATATTTCCTAAACAAAGTGGAATTTGGAGACAAGTCAAGTGGAACAATAGTCTGCATAAAGTGTACGTTACTCTGGTGTATTTTTGGACTTAGCTCTTTTTTCCAAATTGCAATTTAAAAATTTAAAGGGGGGGGTTTAAATTGAGTTGATTCTTTTTACACTAGATTCATAAAAACACAAGTTGAGTTATATCATTTTGCCAAATTTTTCAAACGGACTCATGTAGACTAAGGTTGAGTTATCTCCATTTTCCAATGAAATTTAGACTGTAAAAGGGGTTAAGTTGAGTTATACCCTTTTTTCCCTGTGGGTTTTTCTCCTAACTGCTTGGAATTCAGTCAAATAAATTTTGGGGTAATGATGTAAACCATTCTAAGGCACAATAATAAAATAAAAACTCAATTTGGGGATAAGTCAAGTTATTCCCTTCTTCCGCTTCCTGGATCAATTCCAAACGGGGTGACTCCGGTTTATTGAGTCTTGACTACTGAAAAGAGACTTTCGCCCTCGGACTTATTGGCGTTGTACTAATGATCAAGGACTATTGACCACGGACTCTTGACCTTGGACTATTAGATACACATTGGATACGTGGTGTTGTAAGAAGTTAAGTGTGACCTTCAAACTTTGTTCGCAGTGTGGGCGGGCCTTCCCTGGTTGCATTCGGTGTACGTAGACCTGCTGCTCCCCAACAAGGCCGTGGACGAGTTCGGCAATGAGGGCTCGTGGACCATGGTGCACAACCAGGGCGTCCACATCGACGTCAACGGCAGGACCTACTTCGGCTACTTCGCCTACTCGAAGGTGCGCCGTCGCCGCACTCTCGAAAGCTTGCAAAGGAAAGACTTTGTAGTCCGAAGTATTCTCCGGCTTTGTATTACGAACTGGCTTGCGAACTTTTTTCTTCGCTTTGCAAAGAAATAGTTCGTAAGTTGCGAAGAAAAAAGTTTGCAACGTTTCGAAGCATTGGTCAGTAACGTTGCAAAGCATTTTCTTTGCAAGTTGCGAAGTAAAACTTCGCAATGCAAAGAAAAAGTTCGTTACAGAATTTGGGAAAAAATGCTGAAGAATACTTCGCAAGTATTATCGATTGCGCAACCCTCACTGAGAACGGGAGTCTTCGTCAGTACCATAATTTAGGCAAAGTACACTTCATGACCTGAATTTGCACTCCCACGATCCTGCTTTGCCTTTTCTTCGTATTACGAACTAAAGGTTTGGTATTATGACAGCGCAGCGAATGGTAAAGAGCTCTCAGTAAAGAAACGTATAATCAGTTTCTTTTCATTACGAACAAATTTCTCTGCATTATGATTTGTTTCTATCCCGAAGTACTTGAGAATTGGCTTGGTATAATGACGGCACGGCGTTTCTCAGGAGTTAATTGGGAGTGTGAAACCTATCACCCAAATTCAAAGTCCTCTGGACCTGTGCTCAGTATGAACTGAACAATTTCTATCGCTGTAAACCACACGTTCAGGTCCTAATCGATGCTCGTGTTCAACAGGACGGACGGAAGATCACGAGCTACTGTCAAATGGTGGGCCGCGGTCTTTCCCACGACGTCAACATGCGCCACTGGGCCTGCTTCTACGGACAGAAATCCGGCTATGCGCACTCTAAGACCCACGATGACGTCCTTCAACCCCATGGTACGTCCAAAGCCCCCCGGAAGGATAACAGCCCTCCTCGACCCCTAGATAGCCGCCCGAAATTAAAGTATGGTGAAGATTTTCCTCATAAGACAAACGAAATTCGTCAAAATATCTATAAGGTACAGTGATTTTGCAATGGCATGTTTTTAAGTCAGCTGCGCCACCACAATATAGAGAATTATCACCGTATCGTAAACACGGAAAAAAGGAATTCGTTGACCCAACGAAAAAGTACGTTGATTGCGTGAGAAAAAATTTGTTTGTGACGAAAAGTTTGTTCGCGTAACGAAAAATTTGTTGGTACGACGAACAATTCGTTGGCGGAGCAAAACAGTTAGTTGGGGGAACAAATTATGACTTTGTTCCTTTGACGGATCTTTTGGTTGCGCTAACAGATTGTTAGTTATACCAACAAATATTTCGTTACTCAAACAAAGTTTTCGTAACTCCAACAAAATTTTTCCGTTATCACGGAATCAACGCACATTTTCGTTGGGTCAACGAATTCCTTTATTCCGTGAAGAATCTACAACTTTTAGAGTGGGTCACTAGACAATCCCACAGACAGTAGGCCAAACCTGCTGTCAGTTGCATACACCTCTTGATCTTAAACTTGAACTCGCTGGCGATCGCAGGCCCCCTGGAGGGCCATCTGACCAAAGAGGACCACCAGAGGGTGGTGGCCGCCGTCAACGCGCGCACCCAGCTGTGGAAGGCCGAGCTCCACGAGCCCTTCTCCACCCTCAGCGCCGAAGACCTCCTGCGCGTCCGCGGGGGCCGCAACTCCTGGACCGGGCCCCGCCCCCGCGCCGCCCCCGCCACTCCCGAGCAGCTGCGCGCCGCCGAGCTGTTGCCCCCCGCCTTCGACTGGAGGGACGTCAACGGCGTCGGCTATGTGTCCCCTGTGAGGTAGGCCAGGCCGCGAGCGGACACTAGTGAGATATAGAAGGCTGAATTTTGGTGTGTGGCGAGCCAGGGACATCCCGAATGACCTTGACTCACAGCCAGATCGGCCGAGCCGATCAGTGCACACACACGCTTTCAGACGGACAGAAAAAGTTTGTGTGTGTACCCCACCTCTTTTTCCCAATCGGACTTGCCAAATCTGTTAGACTTTTCAACGAAATGCCATTTATGTGCAGACACGTCAAATAGTTTTAAAAGGCTGTGAATCGAAGGATGAGAGTGATAGGGTGGGCGTGGTTGGCGGACAGGGACCAGGGCTCGTGCGGCTCCAGCTACGCCTTCTCCTCCGTGGGCATGATGGAGGCCCGCCTGCGCATCCGCGTCAACAACACCAGGACGCTGTCGCTGTCGCCTCAAGACGTCGTGAGCTGCTCCGGGCTGTCCCAGGCAAGGGGCAACAAGTATTCCAAATACTTTGTGCACCGAAAGTTTATATCGAAATGCAAAGAAATTGGGCTGCAATTCATTAAAATTTACCCGAAGTTCATGTTCAGTCTACTCACCAATATTTGCAATTAAATAAAATAGTCACAGCTATTGTCATTATTAACAAACCCTCCTGCTCTACCATACAAATACTAAAAAGTTATGAGCACTCTCTTCTATAGTCCAAGTCATGTTTGAAATAGGTTGTTTTTAAATTAATTCGCCTAGTGGTTTGTTTCTAGCAGAAAAATGTGGATTTGAAGCGTGCACTGCTAAGCCGGTGGTAAGTTTGCTTGCCACAAATTTGGCAACCCGTTTTGAATGCCAAAAATTGGTAAGCTTGGCCCGGCATTACCACTCGGCTTGCCAAAATTTGGTAAGCGTATGAAGATTTCCGACCAGAGCTTGCCAAATTTCGTCATTCAAAACGGCTTTGCCAAATTTGTGGCAAGCGAACTCACCACTGGCTTTGCAGTGTGTGTACACTAAAATTCAAAGTCATTACCCCTTGGTCCCAGGGCTGCGACGGCGGCATCCCCTTCCTCATCGGCGGCCGCTACGCCCAGGACTACGGCATGGTGCCCGAGCAGTTCGCGCCCTACACCGGAAGGGACAGCGCCTGCCCCCGAGAGCTCTGCGACCGTGTATACGCGGCCAGCTACGAGTACATTGGCGGTTGGTTGTCCCTCAAACTCCCACTAAGCTTTCACTTCGTAATTCATATCAAAATGTTGGTTTTATGACAGCAAATCGCAAGTGGACGATTCTTGGTAACTTACGTAGGGTTCTAAAAAAGCGTGAAAAATAAAATTTGGAAAAAAAACCATGAAAAAAAACGGTTTTTTTCCGAAAAAAACGGAAAAATATTTTTTGAGCCTGAAATGTCGTTTAAACGGGTGGCGCGAAGCTAGAGGGGAAGGGGGGGGCGTAGTGGCGCGTTAGGTGGCAAAAAACCGAAGCTCACGCGGTGAGGGGCGGAGGGCAGTGGAGGCAGCGGAGGGGAGTGGCCGAGTGGCGTAGGCGGCAAAGGCGCGAAGGCGCAACGAGTGGCTTTATAGCGAGGAAATTTCTAAAACGTGAGTTGTGCCTTTTACTACTGCCTTACCAATCGGTTCATGTGGCATGGCTATCTTTTTTATAGATTTTTGACGTAATGCTGTGTCACATGTTTGTCACACGATTGGTCTTATTGAACTGGCATTGATCTAAAGTAGGGTTATGTAACTAACTTTATATTTATTATTTCACAGCTCTACAGTATGGGTCGTAAAAAAGGAAAGGTGTGGGCCCATTTTGAAACGACAGATCTAGAAAGTAACCAAGCTGGAAAAAAGAAGTCTATATCTGTCTGCAACTATTGCAATACTTCATATCACTTTCCCAACGCACCAGACTCAATGAACACTTAGCATCTCAGTGTTTGCCCTGCCCTCAGGATGTTAAAGACGACGCCAAGAAAGCTTTGAAGGGCACCAAGTCAAGCAAGGCAAGCAAGAAAAGATGTGATAGTGACAGAAGTGAAAGTGTGGATGACTGCGATGCTTGTGATATCACAGAAGTAGTTAAGAGTGCATCGAATGTCAGTGCTCAAGAAATACAGGTGACCAAATCTCATGATCATCCCATGAAGCAATGTCCATGTCTTCTTTTGTGGAGAAGACATCTGATGACAAAAAAAAGAAGATTGATGAGAAGATTGCTCGAGCTATATATGTTTCTGGAGCGGCCTTGAGTATGTTTGAGAATCCGTACTGGATAGATGCCTTGAAAGAATTGAGGCCTTCATATAGTCCTCCCTCTGCATATGAATTTTCCAACCCACTCTTGAATGCTGAATACTCAAGAGTAATGAGCAGTGTTTCTGGTAAACTTAAGTCTGCAGTCAGTTGTGCCTTACTTAGTGATGGATGGTCCAATAATAGGCGTGAAGGTATTATTAACTTTCTTGTCTCAACGCCTGCGATAGTGTTTATTAAAAATGTTGTTCCAGGGGAGCAACGTGAGGATGCTGACTTTGTTTCGAATAAGTTGATCACTGTTGTTGAGGAATGTGAAGAGAAATATGATCTTAACAATAAGAAGTTTTTTATTCTGATAACTGACAATGCATCAGTGATGAAAGCCGCCTGGGTTTTATTTCTAGAACGCTTTCCCCACATGACTGCAGCGGCTTGCAGTGCTCATTCGTTCAATTTATTGTTGAGTGACATCATGAACTTGCAATCACTGTCTGATTTTTATTTAAAAGTTAAGGCTGTTGTCAAAGCGGTAAAATACAAGTCTGTTGTCAAAGCTGTGTTCAAAAGTAAGCAAGAGTCAAATGGAGTATCACTGAAACTTCCACCTTCAACTCGTTGGTGTTATGTTGTCATTTGCTTAGAGTCATTGTTGGCCAATAAGTACCCATTGCAAGAAACTGTGATAAGTGTGCAACTTAAGGATTTAATTTCTAAAGAAGTGCGTAATGATGTCTTAGATGATGATGGCTTCTGGGAAAATGTCAAGAAGTTCCATGATTACTTACTTCCTTTGCATTTAGCTATTAAGAAAGTGGAGAGTGATTCTGCTACTTTGTCTATTGTACCTGAATTATCACATGATATCCGCACCAAAATGCAAGTGAATTATTGTCAAACCTTAATATAACATCAGGGAGGAAACAATTGTGCAAAGGGCTATTACTGAAAGATTGTATCACTGTAATTTAGAAGTCCACTTTGCTGCTAATTTACTAGACCCTCGCTTTAAGGGGAGAAAATTGGATAGTTTTGAAATCCATGCTGCAATGGATTACATAAACCAACAATGTGGCCACCTTGGCCTCAACAAAGGTTTAGTTTTAGCAGATCTAGCTTCATATAGAACAAACACTGGGTTCTATGAAAGGCAATATTTGTGGGACTCTGCCAAAGCTCTTATGCCTGCTGTTTGGTGGGGTGGGCTGTGTGCGAGTCAGCCGTTGGAGCCCTTAGCTTCTCGCATACTCTCAGTGCCCCCAACTTCAGCTGGGTGTGAAAGAGATTGGTCGATCCAGGCTGGAATCCATACAAAGACCAAAAATAGATTTAAGAATGAAAGAGTAGAGAAGCTGAAAGCAATTAAGCAGAACCTTCAGTACTCTGCAAATGCTTTGTTGTCTAAAAAGAAAAAAAAAGCAACATCCTCTGATGATACCCAAGTGACTGAAAATTGTGATAATGATAATGCTGACCCTGGTCCGGATGAAAATGGGATTGAACCGTTTGATGAGTTTGCTTCAACTGACTCGGGTTCTGATTCTGACACCGCTGTGTCAGATGCTGAGTCACAATTTACAAGCGGGGATGAAGAACCCCTTTCTATGGTTAGGGATAATGACGCCTAAAAACAGGCAGAGAGTATGACTAAAAAGTAACGTCCTAGTTCATAAAATGTGATAAACATTTTCTCTTAATTGAAAACTATTACTATATGTGTTAATTAAGATACATTCTATGTATGTTTATGTTCTTAAGCAATGTTTTGACATTTTATTTTATTTTATAGAAATGTTTCTTTGTTAAACATGTGTCCATCTAAGTCACAATGTATGAGTGTCTTTTACTAGTATTGACATTAAAACCAATTATTTCAAAGTGTGTTTTTTATTTTTATTTTCATACCTGGGTGTTGATATTGACCTAACTAAGCTTGCCAGCATGTCAAATAAGCACAAATAGCAAAACTACATCAAAAAGTACCAAAATTAAGAAAAAAACATATTTTTCCGGAAAAATTGCTGAAATAAAAAGCCGAAAAAAACAGTTTTTTTCCGTTTTTTTCATGTTTTTTTTCCGGCCTTTAGAACCCTAAACTTACGACCAGTTTCCTCTTACAACAAATCAGAGACTTTTGTCTTACTGTGCTGGAAAATAGATTAGACGAGAGGTCTCAGTTTGACGACCCTGCCGCACAGACATCTCTCAAGTGGGAGCCCGACATTCTTGGGGATGAGAAATGGTGGCATTATTTTCACAATATTTAACAGCAATATCAAAATGCTCACCTTTAGAATGCAAACAACAGTCATACCACAAAACCAAATCTGCCCTCCACTCCCCTTCACCCAACTCCCTCTACCGAGATCAAAAAAGGAAATAAAGTGAAGGCAGTTTAAATCCATTTTAAAACAGAAATAACCACTACAATGATCACAACAGCCATCAGAAATAGTAAACCAAGGTTTTCCTAACCTCAACATCAAAACAAACCGACGACCCAAGCTTGTCTCTCTCCCTGAAATGAACAGCACATTACTAAAACTTGCAGCAAAATTGATCGGGAAGGAGCCGGTTAAACGTCACATCAAAAGTTAAAAAAAATTCTCGTTTGGATTTCAGATAACTATTCGGTTTCCGAAGACGCAAAGATATAAGTGAGAACACAGTGTTTCACTGTGGGATATTGAGGGTTCTATGACAGTCTGTGCGCCTGATCGCGCCCCTGTTTCAAGGTTACTACGGTGCCTGCAACGAGGCCGCCATGAAGCTGGCCCTGGTGCGGCGTGGGCCCCTGTCCGTGAGCCTGAAGGTGCACCCCGACTTTATCCACTACAAGACGGGCGTGTACCACCGCGTCACCCTGGACTCCGACCTGGAGCTGACGCCCGACTTAGAGGTAGGACGCCGAGTCTTTAGTGTGGAAACTAGAAGCTCTGCACTTCCAAGTGCTGCGGAGACCGAAAATTGCTCACCTCCGAACACTTGGTTTCACAGTGTCCTCCGTCCGGGATGCCATTCGAATTTGCTTTCCTGACCGCCACCCTCTCACGCCCAAAATTCTACTGATCTTCTTCTCAATAAGGTTGATAATCGCATTATTTTGAAGGCACAACGGGCACGCCAGGCGGGACAAATTGCCTAGTGAAAGTACAAGTTGCAGCTGGCGCCGGACAAAATGTGTCACCAGACGGGAACAAAATTGTATCAGCGTCGGATGTGCTTAAAATTGCATAAACCGTGGGACAAAAAAAGTCCCATGACATTTAGTGTGTAGTAACAGTGGAGATCAGTGACTTATGACCTGTTTCTGCGAATTACGAACAAATTCCTGTGCAGGTAATAGAGTAGTACGCAAAGTACTGAGAATAAGCTGACCGTTTAAACGGTTCATGGTTTTCCCCGCAACTCCCTACAAATCACCTACGTCTCTACTAAAAGACTGTGGTGTGGTAGTCAATTGACAATTTCCAGCCTATCCTTACAAGGATGCCGTAAAACATTGAAAGAATCAAGTTCAAGCCCTCAAATCAGCGACCCTAAAGGAAGTAAATCTGGCCCCAAACACAAATGATCCAAAATCATCCCAAACTGAAGCAAAGGAAAGATTCGAAGTCACCGTTGTGATGACATAGTTGTCACCCCATGCAGTAAATGCAGGGCAGGAGCTTAAATGAAAATGTCACCACTCTGTGATGGCAATGTCATTGTCATTATTTCTCAGTGATTAAGATTTAATCCACGATTGAGTCATTAAGTGACCACAAATTTTTACACACCCTTAAAACCTTACGAAGTATTTTGAACATACATAAGTACAAACTAATTTACTTTGTTATACGAAGAAAGAGTTCTTTAATTACAAAGCATTTTCTTTGAAAGCTTATGTCTGCTCAAAATACTTTGTTACAACAAACTGATTTGCTTTGTAAGGCCTGGAATAGTTTGTAAGGTTTTCTCAGTGCAGTGAGGCTACCTGGGGAAACCGCAGGGGCATTTCCCAGTGGGACATCGGGAACGCGCGGCTCATCCATGTCGTGGCTCGTTGCAGGTTCACCACGCCGTGCTGCTGGTGGGCTACGGCGTGGACGCGCAGAGCGGCGAGAAGTACTGGGCCGTGAAGAACAGCTGGGGCCGCGACTGGGGCGAGGACGGCTTCTTCCGCATCCGCCGCGGCCAGGACGAGGTCGGCATCGAGAGCCTTGGCATGGAGGCCGAACCCATCCCGTTCTAGAGGGCAGCACACTGCAAGATGTAGTGCCAATGGTACCACAAAAGTACATCGAAAACTGCGCGAAAAAAAAGTGCCAATGGCACAACAGTGTACAAGTATGGGAAATTATCACATCACAACACTAGCATCTACGATTATTTCTTTTTTTTCTTATTCCTGAAACATCGACAACAAATGATTAAGGTAGGGTGAAAGTGCGGTGAGAAAAACGGCAACAGATCAAAAAAGTCACCATAATTAGCCTTCCCACAATGTATGAAAATTCTGTTGCAGGCTCTCCGTAGGAAACCTGGAAGGTTGGGGCGCCCCTTTTCCACAAGTGTATTCAACAGCCTTTTGATTAACCTCCATGGCTCTCGAGCCTGTGAACAATACCACCTGTTTGCCGCCAGTGAGCAGTTGGGAAGGACTTTACAAAACTTATCATTTCACTGATGATTGGCTGATAGTCAATCTCCAATATCCAGGAGGGGAAGAGGTCTGTAATGTTCCCCATAAACTTACAAACACCTGAACTGTGGAGACCTGGTGTTGATTTTCTCTGCTAATATGTGAAGCATTTTTAACATAACACAAGTCACCAGAGTTCAGGATCGAAAACTGCGAAAAAAAAGTGCAACGAGGCCTTCTTGACTGGACTGCACTCGTCATGCCGGTTCCACTATACTTAGTATCAGAATTTTTGTTCTTAAGAAGGACATAAAGTTCCCGAATCAAAACTTGGCAGGTATTCTCGCAGGTTTCTTGTGTTTCTTCTCGCAGTGCACACTCTCATCCTCTGTAGACATTTTGTTTGTGAACCGCTGACGCTTGGGTGCATGAATGAGATTTTGTTTGTAAGCTACATGAAAATGTGAGCAAGTTACATTGATAATAAGCTATTTTCATTAATAAATCCGTTTATAACCCTATTTGCGCCCTATAGTCAATAGGTTACTGGCAACATAATCGGTATGAGATTGAGGGTGCATCTCATTTACCGAGTACTGACGAATGGTGTACAGACCACTCGGAATTACGCTGTGTTATTGTCGCATTAAACTTTTCCTACGGCAGTGAAATGCAGCAACTTGGTCACAAATGGGAAGTTGCCAAAATTAAGGGTCCTTTTGGCTCCTAAAAGAAATACAAAAAATATATCGTTCTAAATTGCTTTGAATTTATTCCTGTATTACAGTGGGCATTCTAAACACGTTTCCGAAGTAGGACAGGATTTTCTCGTTGGTGCATCTCTGTCCAGCAGACTTTCAAAAGATAATCGAGATATCGATCTTTCTTATTCCTCATGTTCTTCGCTACAACGCTTATAAGCTTATAATTTTCGAAACATAATTTCTACTCTAATTGTCTGCGTTGTATTCTGAATACCTTCTCTCCAATTCATCAACAGGTTATGGGCCCAGGTATCGTTCCAAGTGTTCTGAGAAAGTGCTCTGTTTTGAATTGCCAAAAGTTTTCTGTCGTGCAAAGTGCTCTGAGGAAACCTGTCAAGATGACAGACAAACCCGGTAACTACAACTTAACGATCCTGAAACATGCAGTTACGTATTCCATGTGGTCCATGTTTGACCGCATATCCAATCAGTTGTGTCTGGGCGGAGCTGGCAGCTGGCACGCAAGTCATAAAAGTTTTAATTAAGACCATCCCCCGTCCCGGGAAGCTAGTTCTGCTCCTAGGCATTAATGGCATTCCAAGGAAAAGAGATCTGAAGGGCACCTGGCAGATTTATAGTGCGTACACTTATCGGGAAGGGCAGGGTTGCCACTCTTTTGAACTTTCGGATTTCCCTGACATTTCCAGGTTTTTCGGAGACATTTTTTGTCAATTTCCCTGACATTTTGGCCATTTTTTTCGAGGGAGTTGTCGCGCGTGGAAAGAATATCCCATCCGGCGGGTGGGCACTTTTTGACTTTTTGGAAAGAGAGTTGAGATTTTGACCTGCCTTCCACAAATTTCCCTGACATTTCCAGGTTTTCCCGGTTCTCCCTGATATGGTTTCATTTTCCTTGACAATTCCAGGTTTTCCCTGTTTTCCAGGTGCGTGGCAACCCTGAAGGGGTGCCTTGTTGTTGCCGCTTGCCGATCCTTGTTGTGTCCCGCTGGCCCCCAAGGTGACTCAATTTAATTTTTGGATTAAAAGCCTTTCTCAGCAGCCTCCTGTGCACCTGCTTGGGTTTTCCAATGCCTTTCTAAAGTGTGATGGCCCGGTCAATGAGGCCTTGTATGTCCCACGCTCAGCCAGGGGTATTGATTTCATCCATCCCAACTCGGCTGGACTGAAGGTCCTCCATGCCATTATCGTGCAGGCTGTGAGTGACTGAGGGCGGTCCATCGCTCCGGCATGGGCTTCCCGTCTCTGAGGCCGCATGGTAGTATGTTTGGTACTCTTGGTTACATTGACACCTACTAGTTTCGTTGCTTTTAAATCTCCTTGAAAGAATTGTTGTTTGCTTAGCGGCTTAGCTGCCGCTTAAACTTGTGGTTTTTATTTTTAAATTTTGCTTGGTTTCGGGTTGCTTGTCGCATGTGTATCTAGCATTGTAAATAGTATGCTTTCATGCTTATAATTATTTGCAAAAATATGGGGCGGTAATCGCAGGGGGACTATTTACTCCCATACCGATTGCCCCTTTGCACCTGACCCTGTTCTGAAATCTGTGCTAAGTAACTCTTCCAAGAAACATCAAGGCAGTCAAGAAGAGGACTGTGAAAGAAGTAATCCAGTGTTGTTGCCAATTTACTGAAGACAGAGTGCCTCTATATTCTAGACCAATACGCCATACTTATGCAAAGTCAATTTTCTTGTTTGATAACGGTAAAGACAAGCCAATCTTCAGAGTGTCTGTAAATGACTCTGTTATTGATGATGGGTTGGAAGGTTTTACAACTTCTTAATACAATGCCTTAAATCATCGGAAGTATACCACGAAGCAAGTCCAGGGCATTCCACCTAAAAAGAAACGTCGCCGCTTGGCAGTGCAACCGGAGACTGAAGAATCTGTGGACGATGGTTCTTCAACTGAGAGTGAACCTCGGTCCTCAAAGGTGGATGATTATGGCTGCGTGCAGTTCAACCCTCCCCTTCCATGCAATGAAACAACCGCCACTCAGGAAGAGAAACGCCTACCACTTCTTAGCCTTGTAGGTCCGCCTCGGCTGAATTTTTTCATGCATTTGATGCGAGCGGAGCGCGATCTTGCTGAACGGTACCGCTTCCTTTTGGGAAACCATGCCGATAATCTTCTGAATGAGCATGCACTGGGGGAAGCACATTGGCTTCGTGAACGGAACGCGGGGCGCGACCCACCGGTGACCGCCACACTGTGGCGAGAAGACAAACGGATGAGAGGGTACTCAACAAATCGTAAAGCATACATTGTATGCTCTACCTGGGGCATGCCTGCAAGCATGCATTTACTAGTGCAATAATAAACGTGCCATGTACATGCTTCCTGATGCAGCCAACTTCCTATCCCTTATGCACTACATGTATGCTTCAGTGCATCTTAATTTAAAGAAACTTTTTTATGAAGCAGTTTACAAAGACTTTTTGGTAGTAAAAGTAATAAACTTTGAAAGAGAGACCGCTCAAATAAACCGTCATGCATAGGGCTACAATCTGCATTAGTCGGATTTTGATTCATATCAGTGCACACTGGTAACCTTTTAAGCCTCAGTGGAATTCCTGATTTTTCTGGAAAGTCATGTCCATCTTTGAGTCCACTTTCCTCTTTTCTTGCCAAGATATCGGTAAAAAGTGGCCTTTTTGTTCCGAACAGATTGGTATCTGATTGATTGCTGAGCCCTTAATCTCTACCCCTATCTCTAACTCAAACTTTAGTTGGCGAAGCAATCCAATCGAGTTCCAGCCGTCCCAGCCCCGAATCTTGAGATGAGGGGTCCGCTCATGGGGATCCAACATAACAGTGCAAAGGCAGAGAAGTCTAACACTAAGTTTGTCTTACGAGAGAAACTAACTATTTCGTTTTTAAGTGACTTCCTCAGCAAAGCAGACTTCGTCATAGCGAGACCTGGTTTTTATTGAGGAAATAGTTTGGTGATAAATGTACCAGTAAATCATGGTTGTGTTGGTATCATGACTTTGGCATTTTGTTTCTGCTAGGCAACACGCCACAAAACGTTTAACCCGATTAGAAATACCAATTGGGAAATCGCATTCAACACAATAACGCAATAAGTTTCCAAGCGGAAAACTGACTTTAAGTTTCCAAATCATAAAATTCACTCCTATTTGAAATGAGCAATAGTTGGTTATGTATTTGTTTACAATTTTGCTTGTGAGGCATAGTAGTATTTCATCCGTAAAATTACGTTTATTGCACATTTTCACTTTCTGAGAGGTTAGATAAGAGTTTATTGGCTGAGCGATAGCGAAGCCTGTTACTCGGGTGGGTTTGGAAAGTTTTGTCTGTCTGTCTGTCCGTGTGTCCGCACTACTCCTCCTGAACGGCTCGGCCGATCTCGGTGAGATTTTGCACACTTTTTGGGTATGTCCTTGCCTCGCCACACGCGCAATTACACTATCCTAGCTCAACTGGTTTAGTTTTTACAGCCGAAAAACGCTCAAAATACGGCGAAAAATCGAGTTTTCTGCAGGCAGATCACTTCTGCCTTGAAGAAAGGGGGGTCTGGGGGGCGGAGCCCCCCAGCACGCATCAAGTTAGAAAAATCGACGATGGACAAGCTATTGCCTGCCGAAGGCAGGCTAGCGCCGCAGGCCAAGGTAGGTACGCCAGGCGCGGATTGGAGAAACAGGCAGCGAGACATCGCGAAGCCTGTTACGACAAGACGCAGTCTGGCGTAAACCTACCTTGTAGTAGTATTTCATCTGTAAAATTACGTTTATTGCACAATTTCAATTTCTGAGAGGTTCGATAAGACAAGACTCAAACTTCGAGACCTGTATCAAGTTCTATTCTCTGGCAGCATCAAAGATCTTCTTAATAGTTGGGCAGCACCAAAGATTTTTTTACTAACTGAACAAGGTAGGTTTACGCCAGACCGCGTCTTGTCGTAACAGGCTTCGCGATGTCTCGCTGCCTTCCTCCAATCCACGCCTGGCGTACCTACCTTGGCCTGCGGCGCTAGCCTGCCTGCGGCAGGCAATGGTTGTCCGTTGTGGGTTTTTTTTTAAACTTGTTGAATGCTGGGGGGCTCCGCCCCCTACATTCTAAATGGGGTTTGTTTTATCTACAAATAACACGATCTTGACCCTTGTCACTTTTCAACTTGTCGTAGCTGGGGGGCTCCCCCCCCCGACCCCCCTTTCTCCAAGACAGAAGTGGTCTATCTGCAGAAATCTCTATTTTTCGCCGTTTTTTAGGTTTTTTTTCCCCTTTATAAAAACTGAACCATTGAGCTAGGAGGGGTGAAATTTCGCGTGTGCCGAGCCAAGGACATACCCAAAGTGTGCAAAATCTCACCGAGATCGGCCGAGCCGTTCAGGAGGAGTAGTGCGGACACACAGACACACAGACAGACAAAACTTTTCAACCCCACTGGAGTAACAGGCTTCGCTATCGCTCAGCCAATAAGCCATTTTTTTCTCCTCTTGATTGCCACTCTGGCATTGATTTTAAGTAATCTCTTGAACGGGAAGGGCTCCAAAAGAGTGCCAGCAAGAGATTTTGCTCTGGTAAGTGCAACATAGGTTGTTCTAGTGGACATTTCCTTTGATCCCAAATTGACAACGACCTAAAACAAAAAATGAAAACAAAAAATGTTCGTCAAGAAAATAAAGTACACTAGCATAATGTCAACTTAATTGTTCAAGACAGATACTGACCATATCAAGACTCAAGCTTTGAGAACTATGTATAGAGCACGCATAACACAACACTAAGGGAAACTGAACTCTTGAACAAGACTGCCCAGCTTTATCAGTCCAAGATTTTAAAATAGGGACAATAGGTACTGTTCGTTCATTATTGTTCAGAAATGGACCATCATAATTATCAAATTTACAAACAATGACTGAAGGAGGGTCATTTGGTGGAGAACTGGCTTCATCATACAAAATATCAATTATAGTACCCATCGCACCATTAACAAGTCCTTGTTCTGTCCACAAATTACTTTTTAACATGATCCTACATCTTACTGAAAAATACAAAACTGAGTGGAGCCCTTCAGCATCATCAACTGTTCCTTTCTTTGCACCTTCACAGTTATGTTTAGCTGGAACTCTTGCGATTGGACACCGCTGGTTTTTGTCATCTCTTCTGCTAACCAGCTTTTCCTTGTTGTAATTAAGTACTTCCAGGCGAGTACCAAACAACCGGACAGCATTCTTAAATTTATCTCTCTCTTCCTTAGATACTGATGTTGTAAACCTTTGTTTGAGATATTTACAAGGTAGGTGTACGCCAGACTGTGTCTTGTCGTAACAGGCTTCGCGATGCTGCGCCAGTTACGACAATCCACGCCTGGCGTATACACCTACCTTCGCCTGCGGCGCTAACCTGCCTTCGGCAGGCTGCCTTCCTTGGCAGACCGTGGAAATGGGCGTGATCCCCTCAAAAAATGCATTTGGTCACCTAAATCTACACTAATGGGGCTAAACTTTCGGTCGGAGGTCTGAATGGGTTCTATTTTCGTCACCAGCAGCCTCAAAAACATTGAAAACGACATTGAACTTGACAAAAAGTTGAAAGTACCAAAAAAGTTGTCTTTTTCCTGCCGTTTTTAGAGTGTTTTTTGGCTAATATGACCGAATGGATTGAGATAGAAAGCTGAATTTTGGTGTGTGGCGAGCCAAGGATATGCCTAATGACCCTGCAAAATCTCAGCAGAATCGGCCGAGCCGTTTAGGAGGAGTAGTGCGGACACAGACACACACACAGACAGACATGAAGAACTTTTTAACCCCACTGGAGTAACAGGCTTCGCTATCGCTCAGCCAATAATCTTCAACTGTGACACAACCATCGGCAATGTGGTTTAAAACAGATTGTAACTTTGTATCTTTCTGTCGTTGGATTTGAGACAAAATCTCAGCTCCATCAAAATTCTCAAACAACATTTGCCCGCGTAATCTTTCAGCTGATGTTATATTGTCAGAATATACTGAAGAGCCACCAATTGGAGGGAGTTGTTTAATCTCCGAACAGGTACACATATGCTGAGCTAAAGTCTTCTCCAGTATCACATTTAGCTTATTGAATTCTTTGCTCAATCATATTCATAGCACCAACACCCACCATACTATATTCATCAATCAGAAAAAAAAACAGAACCTTTCCGATCTCATTCTGTAATTTACGAGCAGCCTGACCTTTCAGAGGGACATGTTCATTGCCTTAACTGTTAATATGCAGTTTTGACTGATGTGTTACCATTCACATTTTTGGCACTTACTCCTGTTGGTGTAACAACGACATAAGCCTCACGACCAAATGCTTTATGAATTTTGTGTTTCATAGCTTGGATGACACAGCTCTTTCCTGTTCCTGTACACAGAAATTTAAAAAACAGGAAAAATTAAAATTACAAGACTTACTTACATCAATAATATCTATTCGGAAACTCTTGTCGAGCATCCTTTCGCGGTATACTAAAAATGGAAAGCGCTGTGCAGCACTGTCATCTTTGAAGCCTTGGATCATAGGGCCGCTGTTTTTATCTCTCAAATATTTTCCTGGCAACTGCACTCTCCAGCGGCGTCCCGAGGTTTCTTCAATAGTGGCTTGCTCCCCAGGTCCATATTCCTTGTGATATGTCGGGTTAATTGCCAAGATTTTGTAACCCTTGTTTGGGGTCAATTTGCCCATTTGGACATATCTCGCCCATTGAGCATTAGCATACGTTGAATTTCTTGTAAGGGCTAGCCTGAAAGCAAAATAAAAAAAAAAAACGATTTCAAGAAATCCTAGGAGTCACGAAGTCAATATGGTTATTGTGTAGGAGTATTCACAAATTCAGTAATACATTTGGACCATTGATTAGACAAGCGATATACAGGTTATAAAAGTTCAACAGACATAATAAAATTTAAGAACTGACCATTTACTTATTCATCTTCAACGTCAATGAGTGTGGGTGGATCCAAATAAATGGGGAGAAGGTTCAATTCAGTACGGAGAAAGGAAAAAAGTTGTGTAAAAGGGATAAGGGGTGGTTTGGGTACGAATGGCAGCGGTACCAATGTGGTCAATGTGTGTCGATGTGCCACCCGTCAAAATTTAAACTTGGCAACAAAAAGAAATCAAAATGCCGTAAAATTCGAAAAATTCCAATGCCAATCAATGTATTCCACAGTGGAACATCTTTGAAGTCAATCATTATTAAAATGTTCGTGGGGGAAAGGAGGCAGTAAACCGGGTTGGCAACAATCTTCTCGGCGCCTGCGCCCTTGCGAAAATAGCGAAGCCGAAAACACGAGTAGTCGCGCATTAAAACTGCCCCTCCATTGTTGCTGACGTTGAATTGTTTGGCTTGTTTCAAAAGGCTACGGTTCTCTAGTCATGTTTTCTTCAATTCTGTGTAATACACTCACTCACAACGTAACAACACCACGACGGTTGGTTTGACAAACTTTATAAACTCAGGAGGGATGGTTTCGAATCGCAGGTGAGTCTGTTCGAGGAACATGAGCACTGAAAGTCGCGAGGTGGAGCGATGTGGTCATCGTGCTATCTGAATGAGAAGTCCCATCAAACAAAAACTAGAGCTTCCCAATAAGACAAATGTAAGAAATATAGTTTTGTTTTGTTGATTCAGTAAAAAGTTGATAAATGAAAAAATTGTTTTATTTTTTCAATATTTTTAAATCTTTTCTTCAACATGTGTCCTCAAAATATATTCAGATGTAATGTCATAATTTATACAGATTAATTTTGTGGTAGAAAATACACATTGAAAATGAAACAAACACAAGACTCACTATGAGTGTAGGTTTCCATATTGGTAAGTCTGTGTAATGTTCCGCGCATGAGCAAAGACATTCCCATCAAAAATTTTCATCAGGCAGTGCAAATGAAAAGACTGCGTCCAAAAAACCCTCTTGTACTATTGTTACATCCGTTCTATCACGGTCGCAGAAAGTTCTTTATTCGAACGTCCTTTTACAAAGAAGCGACTGTTTTTGGGGTAACCTGTACACAAGCGAAAAGGAGCCGTGCTGTTGGTTGGGTTTGGCTCGGCTCCCCCCTCTCTCTTCCCTTTTCCTTGACGAGACGAGCTTTGCTATGGAAACAGTGATTTTGACGGCAATTTTCTCAAAATTTCAACCATATTCCAGAATTGAAATCACGTCTCAGAATTCTACCAGTCTGCAAAATCTCATCAAAATCCTATAGAGAGGTTTCGACTTGCATAAGGGGCCACGCGATCAAATCCCAGCGAGGCTGAATCCTGGGGGATACTATAAGGCTACTTCGTGCCTAAAAACAGTTAGCAACAGAACAGACACACCAGGCAACAAAACAATGATGAGCCTACATAACCCTGCTAACGCTGTCTAGGACCACCATACGATAATAAAACATTACCGCACATACTCTGCAAACTGAAGTGTGTACATAGTACACTCTTATTAGAGCATACTTCCAAGTACACTCTTATTTACAGCATACTTGCTAGGCACACGCTAAAAAAGAGTGTGCCTGGCAAGTACACGCCAAATAAGTGTGTACCTTCCATGTACACGCTAAAATACACTCGATAAGTCCTATCTAAAAGCATGAGCCAGTTTAAGTGTACTTGCCAGGTACACTCTTATTTAGCGTGTACATGCAATATACACTCTTATTTAGCGTGTACATGCAATGTACACTCTATTTTAGTGTGTACCTAGCAGGTATGCTGTAAATAAGTGTGTACTTGGAAGTATGCTCTAATAAGAGTGTACTATGTACACACTTCAGTTTGCAGAGTAACTGAATTTACAATCAAAACTATACAGAGAATCTAAAGACGACATCATATTGACAGAGAATTGAGGAAAAATGAGCGGATTAAGATTCACACGTGTTAGGCAAGAACCGGCACGTCTGGAGCGACACTCACACAAAACCACAATCAACTTGAAAATTTCTACTGACAAACGAAATTTGAAACAAAGTGTTAATTAAAATAACTTATTAAACAGGAGAAAGAATCTGATGGCGTGTCGCTACACCCGCACGTAGTTTTCAACGACTTTGCCTTATCAAAAATTAATGGAACTCGACGACAAAAAATTACGCAGCTGCGACCCAGCAACTTTCAACCTTTCTACAAATCACACAATCACCAAATAAGTGCAACTTACCATTTCAAAACTGAGACAAAACAATAAAACTGGACGGAGCAGCAGGGGCAACCAAACGAGTCGACAGCCTGAGACCAAATGATGAAAAAGCTGACAAACGGAACGGAAACAGGAAGCAGTGCGAACTAACTACAAAGCACAACAAGAAGGCCGTGACTCGATTCCCAAATCGATTACTTACCGACAAAGTTTAGAAAACAAATTAGTACGACAGAAAATCGTCTAAACCCTTGATTTTTAAAGCTCTTTAAACTTTGGCTCAGCCTTGAGTGTGGACTCTACCTAGTTGCTGTGGGACCAGAATTGGCCGAGATAGAGCGCCGAGACTTGAGCGCCCTAACCCGGCCGGCAGGAGGCATAGTTTGCACCCGGCGCCATTAATGATCGTTCAGGGTTCACTCTTAAACGAAAAGAAGCGCAAAGGTCTATCCTACAACGTGGATGTATTGCATTTGTACTCGTTTGAACTTTTTTCCAGAAACTATTCTGAGAAGGTCCGTAAACTGAGTTAAACAAGAATGGTCGTCGTGGTCCAGATTCCAGTTTCCGAAACTTCGGAGAACTTCCTGCTTTTATAGTTTGCTTTCAGAGGGAGCTCCGTACACATGTTTCGGTAAGGCACCATAATTTTTCCATAATTTATTTATCGGAGAGTTTGTGGAGGAACGGGAGACTCAACTCAGTGCCACGTCTGGGCGTAACACATATGAAAAAATTCAATGGCGACACAACTAGCATTAAGAGAAGACTAACGGATGAGAGGGTACTCGACAAATCGTAAAGCATACATTGTATGCTCTACCTGGAGCATGCCTGCAAGCATGCATTCACTAGTGCAAACATGCCATGTACATGCTTCCTGATGCAGCCAACTTCGTATCCCTTATGCACTACATGCATGCTTTAGTGCATGCTTGGCAGGCATGCGCTAGCTAGAGCGTGCTTGCAGGCATGCTCCACTTAGAGCATACAATGTACGCTCTTCGATTTGTTGAGTACTATCGCGGAAAACCAGTTCCTAACCTAACCTTCTTTCATGTCTAGATAGGTTTCCGGCCAAGGCGGCGTCATTGGACTTTCGCTCTCCGATCCACGGAAGTAACTCACCTTCGCTGGTATACCCTTTGCTGTTTCCTGTTAGCTTCCCCACACTCTCAGCACGTTACTGACTTTTCCTCATTCATTACGTGTTCGTACAAACAACAATATTTCTTAGTATTTTCCAGGTATATACGACAAATTTCCCATGTACAAATCCAAATTGTCAGTGCGTAACTTAACATTTCCTAAGTAGTTCTTTGCAAAAGTAAACAACGTGGCAGTCCCACTTACGTTAGCACTGTCAGAATGATTACAGTAACGTACTGAGAGTGAAGTGCTACGCCAAGACGTGGTTGGGAACCTGCCTTTAGGGTTTCTAAACAGTTCGGTTGACCGCAACCACCGGACTTCCGGTCTCTGCTTCCTTCTCAGTACTTCATCCCTTTCAGTTCTGGCCGAGTGAAGATCACAAGTAAAGCAAAAGAGTCAGGAACCAGTAGGTACGTCCCCAGTGGTTCCTGCCTTCATCACTTTTATTCTTCACTCGGCGCGAGGATAGGGTACTTTCGTAGAATCCTGAACCGGAAGCAAGCAGACCAGCAGACGCCAAATTGGCCGGAAACTAACCTCTCTTCGGATCCAAAACTATAGCCGAGCTGTACATATATTGCTCGCGAAACACATATGCACTGCAAACAAGTATCAAACGACTGTTTATGTTTATGTGGCCGATACCTTTGACGAACGTCTCTTTCCCATGTCAAGTTTGGATCTACTTCCGCCAACATGGCGTCTGTGTGCTTCCGGTTCAGGGATCTACAAAAGTACCCTATTGAAAGGATCTATCAGAGAACATTATTGCATGGCAATAGGGTACTCTAAGGGAGATCCAGGCCGGAAGTTAGCGGGAGAAACAAAAGAGCGTCGCGCGGCCGAACCGGGTGGAGCTGGGGAGCGAAGCAGGCACAGAGGGGGTTAGGTGGCGCGCGCATGTAACCCCCACTCCGCGCATTTCGGCCCCCACCATCGTTCAGCAGGACCGCGCGACGCTCTTTTTTTTTCCATTCAGCCGCTGACTTCCGGTCTGGGTCTCCTCCAAAAGCACCGTTCTATAAATTTTCAAATATCGTTGTGTCAAATCCTGACCGTTTTCGTTGCTTTGGTCTTGTTCACCTGCGTGTCACTTTATGTTCCACTTCCGGCGACCGTTGACAGTTTAAAATTCTTTTCGGCAGAAGGAATAAATATCCCTGTCAACATCTCTCTTCGTAAATAGGGTACTTCGGAGAATTCCTAGACCGGAAGTCAGCGACAGAACGGGAGAATCCAAAGAGCGTCGCGCGGCTGTGCTGAGCGGTGGTGGGGGTCCAAATCAGCGGAGTGGTGGTGAAGTCGGCGCGCCCATGCTGCCCCCACTCTGTCCATCCACGCCCCCACCCCCGCTCAGGACGGCCTCGCGACGCTCTTTTGTTTCTCCCGTTCTGTCGCTGACTTCCGGTCTAGGTTTCCTCTGAAGTACCATATTGACTTCTATACCTTCTCGTCTTTCTCCCAGCTTCCGATTTTCAGCTTCTGTATAAATTTGTGCATATGCCTATAGAAATAGTTTGTAAATTTCAGTATGTTCACGGTGTAAACGGAACCTGGTTTTTCCAGGAAGCCAATGGTGAGGGTACGGGCGATTTCCAGGGAGTTCCTGGGAAAACGAGGAACCGTTTTTACCGTGTTTTCTTTGTGAGCTTGCGTATGCTCGAAATGTTGTGTTAAAACAAGCTACTTTCGTTAGTGAAGCTTCCAACAACGTGCAAGTTTTCGAGAGTGCATCCGATGAGGACTCCTGTTGTAAATGTGCCACGTTAATGCCTTGTTTCAGGTGCAGTTATCATCATGGAAAACCTGCCCACGGAGGTTCTGCTCAACATATTCGGCCGTTTGAAGGACGCCACGACACTGTTGGACTGCGTGAGTCTGGTCTGCTGGAGGTGGAATGCCTTGGCCAAGGACCCGCGCGCTTGGGCGAGTGTCAGCTGCACGGTGCGTTAATCTGCGTAGCTTGCCTTCTCTCAGAGCCATACTGATAGTTTTGTCAGCACTTCTTAAAAATTATTTCTATGTTTTCTATGAACAAGTTTTTAGGTATCTTACCCACAATAATCTGTTCATAACATGTTGACATTTTGTATGTTAGCCTTTCTAACAAATCTGCCACTACTTATTCATACGTATAGAGCACGGAGGCCCCCTATTGACTTTATGTGGGAACTTCTGCGGCTAATTTGTTAGTACCTTCATAACACAGATATTTCGTCAGTAATAAGAAAGAAACGGAGTCAGTAGTAAAACAATTTAGTCATTTTTACATCCTTCATGCACATGATCAATATTGCCGCAGGATGGAATATTGGGTACAGGGAATACAGGACACCCTATTTTACTTAAAATACCGTAGTTACGGAATAACACTATCAAAAGTTCCGTATAGCGGTTCTTACAAAAGTTGTTTGCCGTCATTACTGATTTGAAGTAAATTGGACGCCTTTTAATCACTGTCCTATGTCCGCCCTGACCCTAATCAAAGGAAACGGGTCGTAGTGACTATAATTTAGTCAGTACCTAATTTAAATTCTACTTCACTTCAATATTTGCCGCAGCCATTACTCAAATTTTAGGGACGTTACAGTACTTGTCGCTGACTTGTCATTAATATGCTACTTACGAAATAGCCCCTTTATGAAGTAATGTCAATATGGCCTTGAGAGTGTAATGCTTAGTCTTTTATGTTTTAAACTTAAAGCTCAAATGGACGCCTTTTAACTGGAGATGTACTGCAAGCAGTTTCAAGACATTCCAGAGCATGCAGTTTTAAACTTTTGTTACTGCAAATGTACACGAACTGTTCATAACACTTACTGCAAATAGGGATTTCCTTTCTCTGAATTAAGACGCCCATTATGAAGTTATTAAAAATGCCTTGAGGCTAGTAGTTGAGCGTGCTTGCAGGCCTTGGATTTTGAGTAAAACGTTACTCTTGTTGTGACATTCTTTCTTCGCATTGCAAAGAAATTGCTCGTAAGTTACGAAGCAAAGAGTTTGCAACGTTGCGAAGCATTTTTGTTCAACATTGCAAAGCATTTTCTTCGCAAGTTGCAAAGTGATACTTCGCTATACAAAGGAAATAGTTTGTAAGAGTTTGCAATACAATGCCAAAAAATACCTCTGCTTGTTTTGCGATCTTCCTATGTTGCATTAGCCGGTTTTTTTGTTCTTGTTTTTTTTTTGCAGTGCTACGTGATGCAGAAAACCTCCACGATCTTCAAGTCGACCGCTCGGATCTTGAAACACGCTCCTGCTCTGTCGAAGCTGACGTTCCGGACGCGCGAGTTAGTGAGCGCTGAGGAGGCTGCCGACCTAATCGCAGACGGGCTGACCTTGGGGGAAGTCCTGAACCTCTGCCGCTGCTCTATCAGCACCGTGGATGTCTGCTGCACCTTGACAATGGCTGCTACTCAGGTGAGTACAATGCATTGTGGAGTCCACACTTCAGAAGTCTTTTAGTGAAGGTTCTCTTTAAAGGCCCTCTTATGGTGAAAATTCTTGTGAATCTTTCTTGGAGTTATGATATTATGTTCGTACAGCTGACTTGGTATCTTACCTTCGAAAAATTCACCGGAGGTTTAAGTGCCATGCTTAAATTAGGCCGGCAATCTCCGGTCATTTCTGTAAGGTAAACCGCACCCGTAAACCAATAGACCAATTTACCTAAGCTTTTCTTTTCATTCAAGTTTTTCACGAGCTGAATGATTTCACCGTACCCCTTGCAAATGAAGAAGTGTCTCTCAAGCGCAGTGCGAAAACTGCCTCGTTCCAGGTTAGGTTCGGAGTCAAATTTCATTTATCAGAAATGTCTTTATAAAGACTCGTTCAAAATTTCGGCGACCGGAAGTTATTTGGAGGTCCCTGTCACAACGCGAGCGGGGCCGTTGCTTGTCTGGGTCGGTTAGACCCCAACAGACCGGACCATTGAATTCATTGAGATTCCAAAGCTCTGGAAATTTCGAAGTATTCGTTTTCGAGAGTTCTTGAGAGGAAAGAGGAAGAGGAAAGTTGATCCATGTTTGGGAACCTTTCCCGAAAACTCATAGACAGTTTGTCGAATAGGGTATTCCGATGGAACTGAACCGGAACCCCGAGCAGCAGAAATATCTGGATCCGGTATGAGAAATCAGGTGTGCGGAGGTCATCCGATTTTGCATAGTCCTCCGCACACCTGATTTCTCATACCGGATCCAGATATTTCTACTGCTCGGGGTTCCGGTTCAGTTCCATCGGAATACCCTTTTTTCTGTTGTTCCATGTATTACGTGGCGTTGTAGGTTGGTGAAACCTGCCCCGGCCCCGTTAGTCTCGGAGGTACCCAACAAACGCTCTAAAAAAAAAATCAGTACAGAATTTTGTAACATGGTTACGCAGCTTTTTCAATGTTACAGAAATTTGTATCACGATGGATACAGTTTTATTCTTTGTAACTTATTTACAAAATTTCGTAACGGTTACAAAATTTGTAAACAGTGATATTCTTCCAAATCAAGCTTCGAAATGAGAATTTCGCTCAAACTAGGTGCTCTCAAGCTTGACCCCAGTTCACTGAACGAAATAAATTTAGAATGTCGAAAGTTAGAAAAGGTGTTACCGAAAGTTCCCCCTTTAGTTTCGGACGATTCTCCGTTAATTTCCGGAGAATTATGATGATTTTTCTAAGGATCTTTTTCAGTATTCACGGAATCCTCTCGGAAATTACTAAATGATCGAAGGTCCCTGCTGCAAAGTTTTTTTTCCAGAGGCATCCTGGAGATTTATTTTGACAGTGTGGCATTTGCTCTAAAATGTTCGTTGCTCGACAGGCCGTGTGTGCGTGGATGGAACGCAACAGCCACACCCTGCGTTCGCTGAGCATGTTTGTAAACGGAAAGTTAAACCAGCGCAGACGACAACTTAACTCCATTAAAAGCCTAGTTCATCTCCAAGAGTTGGTGCTGGTGGTGCGTGAGAGTCCGCGGTAAGTCTTAGGGCATGTCCGGTCAGAAACTTTCATCCCAGTCTTGCACGGAGCATGCGAACCAAATCACTGTGGCTAGAAACTGTTTTTGGATGAAATTTTCATCTTACAGTTGACCTTTGTTCATGATTGTAATTCATGCCATAGCCACTTCAACTTTCTACGTTTTGGCGCAAACGGGGATCTTTATTTTTGCAGACTGAGGACTTCTACACTGTAAAAAAATCCGTACTTTTGTACGGAAATAGTACAGTAAAATATAGTACGGAGGTACGGAGAAAAGTACGGAACGTTCCGTACTTGCTCCATATGAACCCATGTAAATGGGTACGGAAAGAAAGTACGGAACGTTCCGTAGTTGGCAAGTACGGACGGTCCAGGCAAATAATTGACCAGACATGTTCCGTACTTTTTTCTCACAGTGTACCAGTTCGATTTCTGACGAAAATATGATTGGCAGCTGCTCCGCTCCCCGACGACTGATCGACGTCATTCTGGGCGTAAAATGCTTCTTTCCTTCATGTTAACCTCTCCTGCAGGTACCAGCGGGAACTTCACGAGAGCCTGACCTCCCTTCGCGTGTTGAAGTACAGCGTGTCGACCCCTTTGAGGAAGGTGCCGGAGAACCATGTGCGGCTGCTCGCCGACCTGCTGCGGGGTGCAGCCGCCACACTGTGCCACGTCGACATCGACGTCATCCTCGGTCCCTCGGCAGTCCAAGCCCTCAAGCAGTGCACCCGCCTCACAAGGTAGCGATGCACTCTAAATGTTCTACAGTGAAGATACTCCATATTATTGTGGAAATGCTCCACACTCTGAATGTCTTACAAAGAAATTTCCCATAATACGAAGAAAATGGCGCAAGCATAATATGAAGCTGGTTTGCGCAGCTTCCGCTGTTTTTAAAATATTTCCAAGACTGAATCTACGATCTTTTTTGGCTTTCTCAAACTAGATTAGTACCGGATGCATCATTTGTAAGGGGTGATACGGAATGATTTTAGACTGTGTCTTGAAAATATTTTCTGGACAGTGGAAAATATTAAGAGTTACGTCATCACAAATTCACGACAATGTCATTACAAATTCATGACAATGTCATCTCAAAATGACGATAACGATGACTTGATGACATCCTTGTAAGGAAAACAAGCCTCAATTTGTCATCAAGTGACAACCCAAATTTTCACAGTGTGCCTCCGTTTTTTGCAGTGCCACGCTGAATATGGGTGCGGTGGGCGCCGTCCACGCGATGGCTTCGCTGCGCGAGCTGACGCTGGCCGTGCGTTCCCCGGACGACCGCTGCCCGCGCAACGCCGAGATGCCGGCCGTGGGCACACTGTGCGGGCTGCGGCTGCTGCGCCTCAACGTGGAGACCATCGTGAAGGCGGACGTGGGCTGCGGCCCCATGCTGCAGGCGCTGGGCCTCGCCGCCCCCAACGTGGCCACCCTGGTCGTCAACTACGGCCGCAGCGCCAGCGCCCTGGTGCCCGCCATGGAGAAGGACGTGTGCGAGTTCCTGGAAACGCACCCCGGTCTCACGGCCGTCACCATCTCTTCCGGTGGCGCGAGCCTCGTGCCCAGGTGGGTGTCTTGTGAAGCAAGAGCTCAGATGCACCGTGTAATGGTTTCATTCATTTTGCGATACTTTTACTACCAACTATTTAACTATTTAACATAGAAAGCGGTTATTGCAGTCAGATAAGAAGCATTTTCTCACTCTGGGCGTCTGCTTTTCAGGTTGGCGGGCCTCACCGACCTGCAGGACTTGCGCGTCGACCTGCGCATCCCTCTCAACGACTGGGGAACTAGTTGTGAAACCTTTAGGTCGATGTCCGGTCCCATCCGAGGGGTCGTCAAGCTTATTCCAGTCGAAGTGGAGCCCAAAACGTTTCGGTGGATGCAACGCTGAAGCAGCAGCAGTGTTTCCTCCCATTAGTCGCTGGTCTTGGACTTTCCTCTTATTTTATTTTATTTATTTGTCTAATTTCTGAAACTCAAAGAAGAGGTTTTAATCGACGGAGAAGATACCGTTTATTTTCCCAATTAAATCACGTTTATTTTTACCTTGTGACTTAAGTGCCGTGTTGCACACGAATTACATTTTAAACAGGAAAGCAGTGTGCGTTATTCATCGTTCGTCGAAGAATGCATTCACATGAAAACATATATTTGACTTGATTTTGAGAGAGTTTACGGGTGCATGACCAATTACACTCTCATTCCAGGAACGTGGCATCACGTCCCTAACGTCCCTAACTGCAGGGATATTTCGCTGCCCCTTTGTATAGGGACGGTCCCCATGGATAGGGACAGTCCCCTTGCCAAAGGGCCGCGCAATATCTCTTTGGTAAGGGACGTGCCGCGGAGTGTTCAAGTGTTCAAAACATCTACCTCTTGAACATCAATGTACAATCTAAGAAACGCTTACTGAGTAAACTTTTGACGCTGATAACAATGGTAGTGTCGCCGACACTATCTGAAGCCGTTTACAAGTTACCCTTAATAGGTGTACAGCGGGTTTGCCTACCTATATCACCCACATTTTGCCTAACTGGCAGGCTGATTTATAGGGCCTTGTGGTCTGGAGGGCGGATCCCCAAGTCCAAAGGGCCGACCACTAAGCTCATAGGGCCGGTTTCGGAAAGGGACCGTCCCTTTAAAATCATAGGGATTCTTTCCCTTGGGGCTTGCCCCCAACTGGCGCTAGAACGCGTCGATGCTCCGTGGGGGATCCCCTCCCTGGGCAGCCGCACGGCAAAAGTACCGCCTGGGATTCCCAGGCGCATCATAAGGAAAAGGGCCTATTTTCCAGGCACCGCCTGGGAATCCCAGGCGGTACTTTTGCCGTGCGCTGCCTTAGCGCTCTGAGCCACGAACCCCTCAAACTCGGACTGATTGCACCGGATTTCTGTTTGAGACGTGATGCAGGGTACTTTCGTTGATCCTGAACCCGAAGCAAGCAGACGCCATATTGGCCGGAAACTAACCTCTCTTCGGATCTAAAACTATAGCCGAGCTGTACAAATACTGCTCGCGAAACACACATGCACAGCAAATAAGTATCAAATGACTGTTAATGTTCAAGTGTGGCAGATACGCGTGACTATCCTACCTTTCCATGTCAAGTTTTGATCTACTTCCGCCAACGTGGCGTCTGTGTGCTTCCGGTTCAGGATCTACGAAAGTACCCTATACATGAAACATATATGGCGTCATATATTGCCATTCATTTCCCATATATTTCCAAGGGAACTGAGGAAAATTTCGTCGAACCCACTTCCCTTTTTTTTATTTCGGAAGGGCTGCTACCTTGGCGCGCGAAGTCATTATGGGCTGGCAAGCTCGCCGGGACCCAACGCCGAGGAATTATTGTCAAGCCTTACATGTCGAATGTGTTCCGTTTTTATCTTGCAGCTCTCCCCACAAAAACAGAAAAGTTTTTACTGTATCAAAAATTTATTACATAAAATAAAGTTAAAGTATATCACAAGGATCGGCGTTACTGTCTTCGTTCTTCTCCTTTGTCGATTCAGGCTCTGTCCTTGACGGTGAAAGTGAGCGGGTCAATGAAGCTGAACAAGGTGCGGAACTTTGTCTTGGGAGGAGGGCGATTCCACTCCAAGCTGAAGTTGCGGAACACCTGCAGGCAACAACAACGGACTTTGTCAGCAGTAACCCTTCACGAGTACACACTTGCAAACACTACAAACCTAACTGTCTACTTAGGACGCTTACACACTAACAAATGCATGCTTGCAAGTACACACTTACAAATGCGTGTTTGGCAAGTACACTCTTACAAACGCATGCTTGGCGCCGTATAACTCCATGCTAAGCGTAGGCTTGCAAGTGTGTACTTGCCACCATGCATTTGTAAGTGTGTACTTCGTCATGCGTTTTTAAGTGTCTGCTTTGCTTTTAAGCATGCATTTGTACGTGCGTGTCTACTAAGTAGACTGTTGGGTTTGCAGTGAATGGATGCTTGGAAGTGTGCCCGGGTGGAAAGAAGTTTAAGGGGGTAGTACAACGAATGTGACAAAATGTCACGATCCTTTGAGCATTATGTTACATTCATTTGGACGTGAGAAGTTTAAGGGGGTAGTACAACGAATGTGACAAAATGTCACGATCCTTTGAGCATTATGTTACATTCATTTGGACGTGAATCAGCCATTAACAAGCCTATTCACATTCAAATGAATGTGATACAATGCTCAAAGGGATGTGACATTTTGTCACATTCGTTTCAACGTGATGTCACGTTCCTGGAACGAGATTGTACCATTTAGACAGTTAGGTTTGTAGTGTTGCCACAACACGTATCATGAATGCCTAGATCATGAAGCGTACAATGGCAAAACAAAGGCATAAACAGTCTTTCCTGGCTTGGTTTTTCAAGGGCGTGAGTCGTTTAATGTTTAATGCCCTTGAAAAGGACGTGTGAATTGGTAAAGAACTTTCAGGCAAAATTTTAATGCCCGTCCAAAGTTATGAATCGATTCACGCTGTTCCATAGGGGCGTAAATCATTTACGCCTTTTAAGGGCATAATGTTAATGCCTTTGTTTTAATGCCTTTGTTTCAACAGTGTAGAACTATACTATGGTACAAATGATTTCTTTCAGTGTATATAAGCATCTCTACGGGCAAGATCACCCTTTTCAGGGTGTTACCTTCGCCAAGACGGTCTCGATCTCCAGGTCGGCAAACCGGCGCCCGACGCACATTCGCGGCCCGAAGCCGAACGGCAAGAAGGCGAAGGGGTGCGTGGCCTTGATGTCGTCGGCGCCGGGGAGCCACCGCTCCGGAAGGAACTCCCCGGCCCGCGGGAAGTAGGCCTCGTTGGACGCAAGTGCGAGCGTGCTCATAACCGTCATGGTCTGTGATAAACAATGAAAAAAGAAAACCCGGACGTCAGTAAGTACCCTCTCACAGTGAAGGCATAAAGGGAAAATGAACACTGAAACAAGTATAGTTTTTGAGCGAAAACCGTCAAAGCGTCGATGATAGCTTTACAGGCGCGGTTTAAGGAGCCCCCGACAGAGGAGATTGTGTATATTTTGCCTACCTACAGGAGCATGATGCTGACGTCCACACACAAAATCTATGTGTGTACTCAGTACACTCCTCGAGTCGCATGCTTGTGCAGAGGGTAACAGTACGCTTTAAAGCGTGTGATGGTACTTACTCCACTTGGCACCTGGTATCCTCCAATGACCAAGTCCTTGATTGAGGTGCGCGCATTGCCAATTAGGATGGGCATCACCCTCATGGATTCCTTGATGCACGATCGCAAGTACCTGCAGCAACCAAAAACAGGTGGGCATGTTTGTTGACGGAAGTAAACTTTGTTCCTAACGCGGGAGCTGCTTTACTATGGTCGCACTGTTAAAAAGTCTGCACAACATCTTTGTTTTAGAGTCCATTGAGATTCAAAACGCTATGAGTACAGCACGTATGGTGCAATGCAGCTGAGATATCGCACCATACGTGCAATGTGAAAGCCATATTGCACCTTACGTGCAATGCATCCCGAAAAGGCCCCACGCTAATGCATGGGAATGGGGAGGTTGCACTTCATGTGCAATGCTTTTGCATTGCACCAGTTGACGCTATAGCCGTAGCGTTTGGATTCTCAGTGTCGATTAATAGCTGACCTACTTCCTATTGGTGAGAGCTAACCGCGGCGAACCAATTGTGTAATGAACTGCCTGTAATCATCAGCCCGGAGTTCCACATCAACACCCAAAAGCGCGCAAGATTCATACTAAAATCCGAAAATCAGTACTGCATCACGCGAAATCAATTGGAATCTGCAATCGCGTGCAGAAAACAGAGTGCTTCATTTCACGGTGGCGAGGTTTAATGATCGAATAGAGCAGTTGAATTTAAATTTAATGTCAACGCACGGATACGATTGAATGGCGTGGAAAACGTCAAAATTCTCCGCTCCGCGGCAAGGCCGACGCCGACTGGAATAATGGCCTCAAATTGTAGGCCCGATGGACGTTTTCCGACTCGGGAAGCTTCGCGCAGCAACCCCGTCCACCTATCCCACGCGTACTGGCTTGCCTCAGCAGCCATTCTTAAAATAGACTCACGTTTGGTAGAGGGGAGGGAGGTGTGGGGATGGGGAGAAGGGGGGGGGGGGGGGCAGCTGCCGTGAGGTGACTCGAGAGGTACAGCCGCTTACAGGAATACAGAGAATGAAAAAGTCTTGATCAATACCCTATTTTGGGTGAGGTATTCTTTATCACCCAAATCAGGGCGATGAAAGCTTCTTCGCCCAGAATTGGGTGAGGAAGGGTGTATCGTATCAGCTGTCTATATGGCTCCATACTATTATGACCCAAATTTGGGTGAGGAAACCTTCCTCGCCCAAATTAGGGCAATAAAGAATTCCTCGCCCAAAATTTTAGTCATGATCATGACTCTTTCATTCTCAGTGAAGTAGAGCCAAATTTCTGACCAAATAACAAATAATAGAACAGCCAAGCTATGAAGTCAAGTTGAAGATGCTGGCAGTCGCATATTGGAAAATTAGAACGTGACAGCCCGGTTAATTGGCTATTTGGTTTTATTGACATCGTTCTCACTTCCAAAAACAATAGATGGGCGAAATTTTCTTAAAGACAAGGTTCTAATTCTTTAAAAATCTGTTCCAACAAGAATTTAATCCTGACAACATTTTGTCAGCAATTTGGCTTTTATTTCAAAATCAGAACTGACTTGAATAGGGAACCTGGCTCAGCTCTTTCTAACCACTCCAGTCTATTGTTTCTGAGGTAAAATCCTTTCCATATTTTTTTGACATAGTAAAATTGTGCAATGTGCAGTAAAATTGCGCATTATCCCAAAACTTGTGGCCCATCAGCCCTAGCCCCTTCCCTTCGTAATGCGTCCCTGATTGCTGGCTGGGCTGGAGCCAGGGACGGACTGGCCCGGGTGGGATTTGTTGGAATCCCACCCGGGCCCCCCGCCCGGGTATGGGATCCGGGCCCGCAGGGCCCGTCGTAGGTCCGTCAGGAGGCCCGGAACTCTCGGGTTCGCAGGGCCCGCGCCGTGGCCGTGGTGACGCTGGAAGGCCCCTACGCTCAACCAGCACCTTATAATTGGGCCCGAGCCCGGCCGCCAAGGGCTCCCACAGGGCACAGAACAGTTCACTCAGTGGGCCCAGGGTCCGGCCCAGGCAGTTGAGGGGGCCCACCAGCACAGGGCATCCTGGCTGCCGAGCGAGGGGGCCCGCATTCATACGTCTCTTCACGGGCCCACGTGCCTCCTGTGATACCGAAAATTTTGCCCGCGTTCTTAAACAGTCGGAAATTTTTCGGCTCGCTACGCTCGCCGATAGCTACACCAGTCGCTATTCATGTCACAAACCACAAGCAAATCACCGCCAGACTATATCAAGAGGGATCAATGTCTTGCGGCCCGCCACGTTCGTAGTTAAACGCCGATCTAAGTTTAAACCTTCAAAACCAATTAAAAATCTGACAATATTTTCACGAAATCGAGAGGTTGAGGCTCGCTTCGCTCGCCAGGACAACGCGTTTTCATATTTCATCCACGCCTTTTTAAGTTTAGGCTGCACAGTACCTACATTTTCAACCCGCCGCTGCCCCTGGATGGTAGGCAAATCCGGGCCCCTTGGGTGTGTTTCCCACCTTAATCTTTACACCCCAGTCCGTCCCTGGCTGGAGCCCACTCCAGCCTAGTTTCAGTTACCTCATGTCCTCAAGTTGTTGCGCGGTTAAGGGCTTTGAAGGATCTGGAATCACCCTGTCCAATTCTTCATGCAGCTTCAGCTGCTTGTCTGGGTTGGTGGCCAATTGGTACAGTGCAATCGCCACGACAGTCCCCGTCTGAAGACAGAAAAAAGGTACAAACGTTTCCATACGAGCAAATTACAACGCTACTGAAACTTAACGAGTGAAACTTGTGAAAAAGAATGAAAAACGGCCGTTTTGTATCTTGCAACGAAAACACTTTGAGCGCGGTCATAGAGAAAGTTTACTTTCTCTACATTTCTTGACGCGAGTCATACCCCATCACATAAAATGGTTGATCGATCATGGCTGCCTCTGCTCTGCGGATCCAAGGCAATCCTAACTGGCAGTGTCGATTGATAACTATTCTAACTGCACCTGACGTCTTAAAAGACGTCTTAAAGACCCGAAAACGAACAAGTCAGGCATTTTCCATAAGTGACTTATTATAGTGACTTATATGACTTATTCAGCCAACTCACAGTGTCGATGCCTCCCAGCAACATATCGATGGCCATGGTCGCAGCTCTTTGAGGGTCTTTGGTGCGGAGGAGCAGGTTTTCCAAAACACTCAAGCTCCTCTCGTCGTTCGGCGGTAGGTTCTTGAGTCGCTCCATGGCCAAGTTCACGTGCCTTATCGCCACTCTGCAACATCGACTCGTTTTAACGTTTATAAAATATGCTTTCAACTCATCTTTTCTTGTTTTCTTAGCGCGGAGAAAAGAATACTTAAACAAGCACTGAAAATTGCACTTCATTCAAATGCGTGATATTTCAGGGCCCAAAGATTAAACGTCACCCCGCATTTCACAATATAAAATTGTATGCTTTTGCGAGAAAGCCACGCTTTTAATCTACGTACATTGTGAAATTGTTCCAAAAGTTGGCGTATAGCTGTTGGAAGGGACTGTTTCCTCTTCCTAAGAAAAAAAAACTCTTGACCATTATAACTGTGGAGAATCTCTTTTGTCAAAATTTAACATCGTAATTTTGGTTTGAAGGTGCTTTTGTGATCTTTCAGAGGGGAAGTTACCAATAGGAGAGAAGCTAAACTTTGAGAAGAAGGTTGCACGTCGGGTAGATTGACATTGTTTTTAGAAGCCCGTCGTGGTAGTTGGAACACCCTTGTAATCAAGACTCCATGATGTCAAAGGTTCATTTACGGAAATTTAGGAATGGGATCAAATAACTTAAGTTTATGTTCGTCGCGACAGCGAAAGTACGTTATTCCTATGCGTTACCGTTCCGTCCCGGAACAACCTGATAGTGATCGTGCTTCACTCACCCGTTGACAAAGTCCATGGCTGCGACGAATCGTCTGTATGCTGGCGTTGAAATGTATTTCCAGGGAGACGGTTCCACGTCGAGCTCGTACATGCCTTCGAACACAGCGTGCTCGGCCTCCAGCATCTTCATAGCTTCAGAGCTGGGTTCCGAGTTCCTCAGTAAACCAAGTTCGGCATCCAAGGCAACAAACGTAATCGCTACGCAAATACAATACAAGTTAATGTTAAGTTAACTACGTTCAACGACAACTAGTTGAAGTGCTTAGAGTGTCAGCAACTATTGTGAACCAAGTTTCACGTCCCGGGAATGTAACGTCACATTTAGAGCGTGGCGGCGGTCGCCAGAAAACTGTCACTTTCGTTCGACCGTGAATCAGTTAGAATTAATCATAATTGAGTCTCGATTCATACTCAGGACAAACGGGCCACGATTCACTTCCAGCAAACGTTACGTCACATTGTTCAAAAACCAGTCCGCTAGTTTGATTGCCCGTTTGATGGTTTGATCAGTTATTTTGTGCGTCGTAAAATTACGTCGGATACTCACATTCCAACGCCCATTTCACTATTTCCTGGAAGAAATCTGGGGGCATTTCAAATGTATCGCTCCGAATAGCCTTCATTCTGTCAACAGACCACAAAATGGTGTTAGAACAGTGATCGCAGCAAACATGGCGTAGCATAACTTCACAATGACACAACAGATGGGCTCATGTAGCATCACTGAAATTCAAAGAGTAAGACATATCACCAATTTTTTTGCGATAAGAAAAGTATTACCAAGAGAAGGGTCGTACACAAATGTGTCACCGAAAAAAGGGCGTTATTACAATGTACATGGCCTATCACCGAAAAAAAATGTCAGACGGACCCTTGTTTTCCTGGGCGAAACATCGCCGTTTCACGGTGATCCAAAAAAGTATCATCCCTTTTTTCAGCGCTGCATCGAAGTATCACTATTTTCTCGGTGATATGTCAAAAGTAGCACCTTTTTTTCGGTCATACAGTTAAATCTCGCCTCTCACACGCTTAAAACCTTACGAAGTATTTTGAGCATACATAGTTCAAACTTTACTTTGTAGTACAAAATTTATTTTGTTAGAGAAATATTCCGCAAATTACAAAGCATTTTCTTTGTTCAAAATGCTCAAACAACTTTGTGAAAACAAACTGCTTTCCTTTGTAAGGGCTTAAATAGTTCGTAAGGTTTTCTCAGTGCAGAGAGTGAGGCGTGTCACTATATTTGATTTTCAGTGATTATTTGATGTTCATCTGCATTTGTTCCACTCAGTCCTACCTGTCCACGAACTCCTGGCTGACTCGGTCGATGGGCAGGACGTACTGCTTGGTGTTTCTGGGCTGCATCATGACCTGATTCACGGCTGTACGGAAGTCTTGCCATTCCTTCCCCTGACTGAAAGGAGGAGTGAATGCAAGAGGTGAAACAAAAGACACGCTGGCTCTCTCTCTATTGATGGACGACACGAAACTGCTGTCCCGTGAGATAAAAAACAAAACAAAAAACACGCTGGCTTTCTATTGATGGAGGACACGAAACTGCTGTCCCGTGAGACAAAACAAAAACAAAAAATACGATTTCAAGAAATCCTAGGAGTCACGAAGTCAATATAGTTATTGTGTAGGAGTGTGGAGAAAGGAAAAAAGTTGTGTAAAAGGGATAGGGGGTGGTTTAGGTACGAATGGCAAGGGTATCAATGTGGTCGAAGTGCCACCCGTCAAAATTTAAACTTGGCAACAAAAAGAAATCAAATCAAAATGCCGTAAAATTCGAAAAATTCCAATGCTAATGTATTCCACACTGGAACATCTTTGAAGTCAATCATTATTAAAATGTTCGTGGGGGAAAGGAGGCAGTAAATTAACTTTCGCGTGTTGGCAACAATCTTCTCGGCAACTGCGCCCTTGCGAAAATAGCGAAGCCGAAAACACGAGTAGTCGCGCATTAAAACTGCCCCGCCATTGTTGCTGACGTTGAATTGTTTGGCTTGTTTCAAAAGGCGGTTCTCTAGTCATGTTTTCTTCAATTATGTGTAATAGTTCTCATTCACAACGTAATAACACCACGACGGTTGGTTTGACAAACTTTATAAACTCAGTAGGGATGGTTTCGAATCGCAGGTGAGTCTTGTTCGAGGAACATGAGCACTGAAAGTCGCGAGGTGGAGCGATGTGGTCATCGTGCTAACTGAATGAAAAGAAACATCAAACAAATGTTCCGCGCATGAGCAAAGACATTCCCATTAAAAATTTTCATCAGGCAGTGCCAATGAAAAGACTGCCTCCAAAAAACCCTCTTGTGCTGTTGTTACATCTGTTCTATCACGGTCGCGGAAAGTTTTTTATTCGAACGTCCTTTTTCAAAGCAGCGACCGTTTTTGGGGTAACCTGTACACAAGCGAAAAGGAGCCATGCTATTGGTTGGGTTTGGCTCGGCTCCCCCCTCTCTCTTCCCTTTTCGTTGACGAGTCGAGCTTTGCTATGGAAACAGTGATTTTGACGGCAATTTTCTCAAAATTTATCGCTAAGATTTCAAAATTATTCCAGAATTGAAATCACGTCTCAGAATTCTACCAGTCTGCAAAATCTCATCAAAATCGTACAGAGAGGTTTCGACTTGCACAAGGGGCCACGCGATCAAATCCCAGCGAGGCTGAATCCTGGGGGATACTATAAGGCTACTTCGTGCCTAAAAACACATTGGTTTAAATTTTTGACGAAACAATATTGGACCGGTCAACGTCTGAGCTTTCAAGTCTAAGCATCTAGCATTGTGTATATTGTAACAACCCAATAAAAAGCTAGAGCTCAATGTCTTACGACCCTTAATACGAAATAATGGCGCAAGCATGATACGAACGCAGTTTTTCTTCGTATAGCGAAAGTTATCCCTGGTATCATACAATGAAAATTCAAAACAGATTTGTTTAGTGGTAGAGTTTTGCTTCGTATTATGCTTGCGCAGAATCCACTGTAACAGTGACACATTTAGAGTGTAACCAGGCTTGCTACTCTACTCACACGACAACAAGGCTCAAGGGTAAGTCTTTTCTCAAATTGCGATAGTAGTACTCCAAGGAGTCCCCTCCCAATCGAAGTGGCCAGGGTCCTTCACTGCGAAACACCTAAATCAGAAAGAACGCCTAAAACCAACTCTACAAATCGAAGAGTGTACATTATATGCCCTTACTGGAGCATGCCTGCAAGCACTCTAGCTAGCGCATGCCTGCCAAGCATGCACTATCTAGGGCATACATGCTATGTACACACGGCATGTATGCAGTAGTAAGTGCATGCTTGGCAGGCATGCGCTACACTCTCAGAGCCATACTGACATTTTTGTCTGTACTTTTACTTAAAAATTATTTCTATGCAATTTATGAACAACTTTTTAGGTATCGTACTGATAAAAATCTATGTGTAACGTATTGACATTTTGTATGTTAGCCTTACTAACAAATCTGTCACTAGTTATTTAAAAGAAGTATAGAGGCCTTCTGGGACTAATTTGTTAGTGCCTACTAAGAGATTTTGTCAATAGTAAGAAAGAAACGGAGTCAGTAGTAACTAATATATAAAGTCAGTACATACAAATAAAATTCTATGTAAATGATCAATATTTGTCGCAGATATTACATATATTTTTATGGACTTGCAATACTTGTCGCTGACTAACAAGTGGTCCCACAAGCTATCCGTTCCAAAATAAATCTTGTCGCTGACAAGATTAGCATTAAAAGTGTCGTTTAGTAACGACAAAAGTTTTGTCAGTGATTATTCTGGTAATTTTTTATCAACAAATTTATCAACAATTTTATCAACAAATTTGTTAGTAATGTACTAAAAATATTGTCTATGGAATTGTACATATACCATGGACTTTTTATTCGTGGTATATGAACAAATTTCTGAGTATTATTGTTGCGTAAAAAAATTCATATGCTCCTTAGGAAATGTTGCTGCTGCTATGAACAAAAAGTCAATATGGCTCTGAGAGTGTAGCTAGAGCGTGCTTGCAGGCATGCTCCAGTTAGAGCATACAATGTACGCTCTTCGATTTGTAGAGAAGAGTTTCAGAGTTTCATAAGGACAGATAAGTTTTATAATCACTGAAAATATTTAAGGTTCGCCTAAGCATAAAAATATCCGGTAAATGACTTTGCGGATTTCAATTATTCGTAGTTATATTCCTGTCGGGCTTCGTAAATTTACAAAAGGATCTCAGCTTCGCTGAGATTCGAAACGCAATGAATACAGCACGTGTGGTGCAATGTATGGAGACAATGCACCATACTTGCAATACCATAGCCAATGCACCTTACGTGCAATGCATCCTGAAAATGCCCTATGCTAATGCATCGGAAGGCATTGCACTTCACGTGCAATACAAAACCATTGCACCAATTGGTGCAATGCAAACATCTCTGGAAACGTCTACAAACTCATTGCACCAGTTGCACTCCAAATTGAAAGGCGGTAATATTTCCACCCTTTTGTGGCGGTACTTTTTTTAAAGGCGGGCTCCAGATTTTACCGCCTTTGGGAAGGCGGTATAGTTTTACTGCCACAAAAAGGCGGTACATTATCAGGCCAGGAGAAAAATTAGTTTGAGGTACTTGAATGGCGGTATGAAGTTACCGCCAATTAAGAGAAGGAATTTTCATTACCGCTAATAAATATTACCGCCAATGGAGGAGACCATTTTGTACTGTCAATACGGGGAAGTGTGGCCATATATGTATAACTCGCGCTGCTCGCTGGGGGCTCCGCCCCCAGACCCCCGCATGTGTGGAGCGCGTGCCGAAGTATTTTCAGTAAGTCCGTGGTGAGCAAAGGCAAATTTTCTAAGGAAGTATATGTCCTGCTTCTTTGAAAGCTCTATTTAACCGCTTTTGACCATATAATAAGGCTACTTTTACTGCCCAAATAGATAGCTTGTTGGCTGAGCGATAGCGAAGCCTGTTACTCCAGTGCGGTTGAAAAGTTTTGTCTGTCTGTCTGTGTGTCTGTCTGTCTGTCTGTCTGTCTGTGTGTGTACACTACTCCTCCTGAACGGCTCGGCCGATCTGGCTGAGATTTCGCAGGGTTATTAGGCATGTTCTTGGCTCGGCACACGCGAAATTTCACCATCCTAGCTCAAGTGGTTCAGTTTTTATAGCCGAAAAACACCTAAAAACGGCGAAAAATTGAGTTTTCTGTCGGTAGACCTCTCCTGCCTGGATGAAAGGGGGGTCTGGGGGGCGGGGCCCCCCAGCCGCGACATGTCGAAAAGTTACAAGGGTCAAGATCGTGTAATTTGTAGATGAAGCACCTCTATCTAGAATGAAGGGGGGTCCGGGGGGGCCCCCAGCATGCAACAGTTCTGAAGTAACTGATGATGGACGAGCATTGTCGGCCGAAGGCAGCCTAGCGCCGCCGGCCAAGGTAGGAACGCCAGGCGCGGATTGGAGAAACAGGCAGCGACACATCGCGAAGCCTGTTACGACAAGACGCGGTCTGGCGTAAACCTACCTTGTTGGCTGAGCGATAGCGAAGCCTGTTACTCAGGTGGGGTTGAAAAATTTTTCCTGTCTGCGTGCGTGCGTGTGTGTGTGTGTGTGTCCGCGCTACTCCTCCTGAACGGCTCGGCCGATCTCGGTGAGATTTTGCACACTTTTTGGGTATGTCCTTGGCTCGTCACACGCGAAATTTCACTATCCTAGCTCAACTGGTTCGGTTTTTATAGCCGAAAAACACCTAAAAAACGGCGAAAAATCGAGTTTTCTGCAGGCAGATCACTTCTGTCTTGAAGAAAGGGGGGTCTGGGGGGCGGAGCCCCCAGCCTCGTCAAGTTAAAAGTCAGGCCAATGCAGCCCTAGGCACGAAATCAAATGCTGTTTTGACCTCCAATCACGCAAATCGGTATGCGGGTGCCTGGAAATGAAACCTAGCCTGCCGAAGGCAGGCAAGCGCCGCAGGCCAAGGTAGGTGTAACGCCAGGCGTGGATTGTCGAAACTGGCGCAGCATCGCGAAGCCTGTTACGACAAGACACGGTCTGGCGTACACCTACCTTGTATTGCATTGGCTACTGTGGCAGTCAATGGGTGCATACAAGGTCCGGAAAATATTGAAGACTGCTTTGACAAGGATAGAGGTGAAAGGAAAAAAACCTTAAGTCTCTACGACCACTCCTCGACCCCAAACATTTCTTTGAGTGAGTAAGTGAGTGAGTCAGTCAGTCAGTCGGATTGGGGCTATATAGATTCTTGAAGATGATTGCCCAATTGCCGGTGGCGGGGTCCCGATTACGGCACAGTTTCGGAAATTCTCGACCAGACCTACCGATGGGGCGAATAAAATTTTTTAGTCATTCGGTCCCCTTTTTGGAAGATTGAGTAGCTTTGCTCGGAAACAGTGAGAAATTTTCAACTTTTGAGATTTTTCCCAATTTTCCCATTTAATTTGGAATCGAATGGAAAAACCCGCAGGTCTCTACGACCACTCCTTGACCCCCAACATTTCTATGAGTGAGTGAGTCAGTCAGTCGGATTGGGGCTATATGGGTTCTTGATGATTGATGAGTGAGGGAGTCAGTCAGTCGGATTTTGGGGCATTATAGGTTCTTGATGACAATTGATGATTGATTTTGTGTATGTTGCCGGTGACGGGGCCCGATTGTGGCACAGTTTCTGAAATGTCTCGACTTGATCTACCGATTGGGCTAATAAAAATTTTTAGTCGGTCGGTCCCCTTTTTTGAAGATTGAGTGGAGTTTGTTAAATTTAGGCCTATTTAATCGTTTTTGAGAATGTTGCCGGTGACAGGAACCCGATTGCGGCACAGTTTCGGAAATGTCTCGACCAGACCTACCGATGAGGCGAATAAAAATTATTAGTCGGTCGGTCCCCTTTTTTGAAGATTGAGTGGACTTTGTTAAATTTAGGCCTATTTAATCGTTTTTCAGGATGTTGCCGGTGACCAGGACCCGATTGCGGCACAGTTCCAGAAACCGCTCGACCAGACCTACCGATGGGGCGAATAAAATTTTTTAGTCGGTCGGTCCCCTTTTTTGAAGATTGAGTGGACTTTGATAAATTTAGGCCTATTTAATCGTTTTTGAGGATGTTGCCGGTGACGGGAACCCGATTGCGGCACAGTTTCGGAAATGTCTGGACCAGACCTACCGATGGGGTGAATAAAAATTTTTAGTCGGTCGGTCCCCTTTTTTGAAGATTGAGTGGATTTTGTTGAATTTAGGCCTATTTAATCGTTTTTGAGGATGTTGCCGGTGACGGGGACCCGATTGCGGCACAGTTTCGGAAATGTCTCGACCAGACCTACCGATGGGGCGAATAAAAATTTTTAGTCGGTCGGTCCCCTTTTTTGAAGATTGAGTGGATTTTGTTGAATTTAGGCCTATTTAATCGTTTTTGAGGATGTTGCCGGTGACGGGGACCCGATTGCGGCACAGTTTCGGAAATGTCTTGACCAGACCTACCGATGGGGCGAATAAAAATTTTTAGTCGGTCGGTCCCCTTTTTTGAAGATTGAGTGGATTTTGTTGAATTTAGGCCTATTTAATCGTTTTTTGAGGATGTTGCCGGTGACGGGGACCCGATTGCGGCACAGTTTCGGAAATGTCTCGACCAGACCTACCGATGGGGCGAATAAAAATTTTTAGTCGGTCAGTCCCCTTTTTTGAAGATTGAGTGGATTTTGTTGAATTTAAGCCTATTTAATCGTTTTTTGAGGATGTTGGCAGTGACGGAGACCGGATTGCGGCACAGATTCGGAAATGTCTCGACCAGACCTACCGATGGGGCGAATAAAAATTTTTAGTCGGTCGGTGCCGTTTTTTGAAGATTGAGTAGGTTTGCTCGGAAACGGTGAGAAATTTGTTCCCCTTTTTTGTAGATAAAGTATGTTTTCTCGGAAACGGTGAGGAATTTTCAACTTTTGGGATTTTTCCCAATTTTCCCATAAAATTTGGAATTGAATGGAAAAAACCGCAAGTCTCTACGACCACTCCTTCACCCCAAACATTTCTATGAGTGAGTGAGTGAGTGAGTGAGTGAGTGAGTGAGTCAGTCAGTCGGATTGGGGCTTTATAGGTTCTTGACACCGCTCTAAACCATAATGTTGTAC